TACACGATTCAATTTTTTTTGTATAAATATAGAGAGAAAATATAGATTCTTGTGGTGTTTGCCGCAATGAAGCGCCTGTTAATATGGACATAATTCCTTGTGCTCATCGAAAGGCTTTTTGTGAACCCTGTGTAGAGAAAGTGCTTTTTGGCGATGACGTTACTTGTCCTTTGTGTCGTGCACCCTGGCCTATCGTTTGTCCAGTTTGTCGGGTAGAACCGTCTACTTATAACGACGGAATTCCTTGTGCACATCAAGAGAATTTTTGTGGAACTTGTGTAGAAAAATTGCATGCTGGCGATAACATTAAATGTCCTTTGTGTCGTGCACCGTGGGCAGTTAATACCGATGTAAGTTCAAAAATTATTACTATATTACACGATTCAATTTTTTTGTATAAATGTAGATAGAAAATATCGATCTTGATGAAGTTATTTTAGATGAATTGCGTATTAATATGGACATAATTCCTGATGATTATCGAGAGACACCTTGGCCAGTTAATATCGATGTAAGTTCAAAAATTATTAGTATCATACACGATTCAATTTTTTTTGTATAAATATAGATAGAAAATATCGATCAACATCTTATGATTGCTGTTAATGAAGGATATACAATGGAACATCATTCTTCACCTCCAATAGCAACTGGTGGTTTAATGCATAATGTTTTAACTTGCTGTGCAATTGGATTACTCATTGGTTTTATAATATATCCAACAATGAAAGAAATTTAAACAATAATATTCAGAAAAAAGAATATTATTATTCTTTATTTAGTCCCACATTCATTTGCAATAAGGTTGTTCAGTTTTTAAGTTAATTAGTATTTTTTTTTATGTGAAGGTAGTTATTTTTTATATCATCAATAATCATTTAAGGTAACTAGAAATTAAATACATATAAATTCTTGCGATATATTTTGAACTAATCTAACAAAGATGCTCAAATACTATAGAATATACTACAATAATATGTCGTCGCATTCGATATAAATAGATATATCGTCGAGCATGAAGAATATTGATGTGTAGTCTACCTTGTTGTGATTCATAAAAAGAAAAGCAGTTCTTAGGTAAGCAAAAACTATGATTTTACTAGTGATATATATTTGTAATATTATATTATAATTATTGATTGAAAATATTTCTATTGTTGATAGTATGATATTCATAATAGTTGAAATACTGTCTCACATGACATAGGTTATTCAAATTATCGTAGACTAGTCATAAAACTAAAATATATTACGAATAGGGCAACAAAACCTAGATCAATTTTGCTTTGCCATATCCTCTGGGCGTGATAAATTATTTTCCCTATTATGTTTATTTGTTTATTTTCGTATACACTGTCTTTTTGATGATTCTCTCTAATTTTTTGTTATTCTGAGTAGGAATGGATATATTGCAACCTATTGTATACAAGGAGAGGTCGTTGAAAACGACAGGCATACATTGTTCTGTTCTTGTGTGTTTGGTTATGAGATAGAGTGACATCTTCACACTTTCTTTGAATATCAGCCTATATTCATTATCTGTAACTATCAGAAATAGTAAATAAATATTCATTTAAGGCATAGTAATTTCGAATTGTTAACAAAAAAGAAAGTTTATAAATGTATCAATATATATCATAAAATTTAGTTAATTCTGTCTGTATTGAGAGATTCTTGGTGAATCATAGGATTCTCAAACCGTAATAATTATTCGAAATGTCGAGACCTGTGAACTTGAAATAGATTTTAAATTGTAGGAGCATGCTGTATCTTTTATAAAACGACGTGTAGTTCTTGTATTTAATAAGTATATTCTCAATGATAAACTTTATTTATAAAAATAATTTATATTCATTGCGTGGAAATTTGAAAAAAAGAAAATGTGAATTCTCTTATAAGAACACAAACTAACTTATATTTCATATTAAGTTAACTGAATATTCTATTTTCACAAAATGACTTAACATTTAATTTAACAATAAATAATCAAATAGAAAAAAATACATAATTTTCACATAGAATATCATTATTTGACCTTATGAATTTTTTCAACAGTTGGTCCTACTACTACAAACCATGGTGGATAATAATCTGCTCGTGCACATACAGCTTGATATTTTATATCATGTAAAACATCACCACCTGCAAGATAAGCACTCCAAAATCCATATGTACCACCAGTAACAATCGAATGATGACATAATGTTAGCGCAATTAGATCATCGGCTTGAGAAAAATCATGTGGAAGTATGAAAACCTTTTTAAATCTATTTTTACCAAATACTTCATGACAATATGTTTTATCATCACTTGCCATAAGAAAACGCACACGTTGATCATGATAACGTCGTCGGAAATAAGTCATTGCACGATAAATATAATCGGTATCAGATGCATAACCAATACCACGAAAATCAAGTCGACGAATATGAATACCTACCCATGTTATGTTATAACGTGTTCGAAAAGCTTGACGAAGTTCTTTTTGAGTTGTATTCGGTAATGGTAAACATGTTGGACAAAAAGGTTGTGTTATATAATTAAAATAATTAGCTACACGTTGTAAGGTATCGTTGCGACCTGTAAATATTTCACGAATTTCTTCTCGAAATGCATCAAAATGTAAATATGATTGCCAATAACCACCAAGTTCTATATTTTTAAATGCATTTGGTCTTAATAATTCATGTTGAAATGTACAAGTAGTACTTTTAATTTCAATATTGTGTAATTTATTATAGTCTTCATCTGACAAATACATTTTACTATCGATTGGTATCATTTGAAAATTAGCTGAAAGTTCTGTAAGAATAGGAGGTGCTACATATAAACGACAATTTTGAGTACGAGCTAAACCATATGCACTAGCAAACATAAACATACGATTACCAAGACGACCACCACTACCACGGTATATAACATTACAACGAACTTGTTCACATGGATTTTGTGATGCATTAAGTTGATGAGATTCGGATACATTATCACATGGTTTACCTATGTCTATTGTTGTTGTTGTTCTTGTTGTTGTTGATGTTATATTAGATAAATTGATAATACTTGTGATTTGATTTGATATTGTTGTTATAGTGGATTTAGTTGTCGTCGAAATTGGATTTTGTATAATATTTATTTGTTGAGAAGAAGTCTTTGGCATGAATGAATTCATGTATATCATAGGGAGAGCAATACAAAGAATAATAATTCCATAAACAAAATATTTTTTTTTATGTGATAGTAGCGTAGTTAATTGATGAATAGTATCAGAATTTTGCATGATGAATGTGTAGTCGATATATTCAAAATAGAATTTTTAAATATAAAAGTTACATAAAACTAACATTTTTGATGAATATTGAAGTAATCTAAATATATGAACATTTAAAGATATTGGCAAGTTGGTTTTAAAATGCCATACTCCCTTACGACAAAATGTTGCCATATGGGAACGTCCGAACGGGAAGAGGTTACTTTAATAGTAATTTCATATTGTTAATTCTTTATTATATTCAAAAAAATGTACAACACAAGTATTAAAATTACATAAATACTAATCAGTTTATAAACATTTCTATTAGTTCTTTGCTTGAGCTTTGAAGGAAATGGTTGTACTTTATTATTTTCAATGTAAATAATAACTATTGATGAATAATCTCAAATTTTAACTCTGATCATATTTACAAAGTTTATGATCCATTAAGTTGCCCAAAATAATCATTAATTGAATTTTTCAAGGACATCTTACCTGATAAAGAAAAAGTCTCAGTTTCCTTTCACAATATTCAACAACAAATTGGCGATAATGATTGCGGCCTATTTGCATTGACTTTTGCTACTTCACTATGTTATGAAGACGTTCCATCTTTACGTAATCATTACGTTCAATGCATTGAAAATAATAAAGTACAGCCATTTCCTCCAAGACTCAAGCAAGGAAGTACTATAAATGCTTATAAACTGACTGATGTTTATTTAAACTAGTTTTTTTAAATATTTATATAATTCTAATACTTGTTTTAAACATTTTTTTGAATGTAATAAAGAATTAATAGTGTGAAATTACTATTAAGTTAAGGCATTTCATATATATTAAAAATCAAATGCATATAAGGCTGATATAACTTATTTTTTTCTAAATATTTTCTCATGACTGTTTGAGTTCACATAGCCACTTCTGACTTTTCCAATATTAAAAAAATAACATACAACGTATTTGCATCGTTATTATCAATTTTAAATGACGCATATATCTGATTATCACATGATTAATAATCGTTTTCACTTCGTTGTATGATGACAATAAATATCATAAACTCCTTCGATAATCTAATTTCACTGGTTATTAATGTTTTTGATAAATTAAAATCAATCTACTCTCAAAAAGTTAATGGTCTTGTAAACAGTAATGACTTTAAGAGATATTAACCACTAACAGTATATAATAACGATAGATATCAAAATAAATATATGAACAGTATAACATACGACTTTTTGATATTGAAAATACGACAATTTCTGACCTTCTAATTAAACATAATCGTTATTATAGGTCATCTATCAACTTTAGCATTATAAATAGAAAGTTATAAGTTACTGTTTTCAGATTAAAAAATGTTGTTAATAAAAACCTTATCAGTCTCGAAGATTGATAGATTTATTAAGTGACGATGACTCTTGAGATATTTTGTACTATATCTATATCAAGAAAATAATTGGAAAACCTTAGGAGTAAACAAACAATTAGATACATCATACACGCGTATATTTCTATATTTTATCTGTATATATTCGACATACGATGATATGAAATTGTATTAAAAAAATACACGTAAGTATATGCATGTACATTACAAAAAGAAATATAGCCTAACCTCTCTATTGTAAAAATATATTTCATTAGATGATCTTCTTTTTTAATTTTAATTCATTGCGTGATTATTCTTTGATCGATGATCGAGAATAAAATCAATCTTCGTGTTTGTATGTCACAAGAGAAGATTCTATACCTAGATACTAATCTAATGTCTATCAGATAAATTTGTTTTTCTCAAACTTTCGAATGATAATATTAATAGACAGTTTTTATACTGGTTTACATACCTTTCAAAATTAGAATAAAAAAATATTATTACTGAAGTTTTGAATAAGAATTTCAATTAACTATATACTATTCTGTTAACTGAAGAAGAAAAAAATTTTTTCATAATTTAAAATACATGTTGCGTGCATGTTTTATTTTCCCTTCGATGACCACATTTTAACATTAGTAGGATTATTTTAATTAGTTAATGGAATGTCTGTACTGAGCAATTGTTAGATGATCTGTTTTACACAACAAATAAAAAACTTAATTTATATCCATGACTTTTTCATATTTAGTTAATATGAAGAAAAATTCTATAATATAAATGATTCAAATAAGATTTACTCACCACTGAGAATGAAAATTTTCACTTTTTACGGACGAATAATATGTTTTAGATTTTTTTTGAAGGTTGAAAAATATTCTTCTGACTCAGTTCGTAGTGCAATCATAGAAACAAAAGCGATTCTATAGTTACTTTTTTTAAAAATGCGCATAACAAACAACCTGACAGTACGATAAATATTTGTGAAGCGTATCGAAGTAAGAAAAAAAGGAAATCTCTTCAATGCTTTTCAAGCAACAGAATAAATTAAGAAAAAAAAAAGAATAACAAAAGAAAGAATATTTTAAAGACATACACGCGGACTTCAAGTGTTAAATAAAATCTTTCTTTCTTAATTTAATTTCTTTAAGAGTAAAAAAATTGTGTTGTCCAATATATCAAATATATGTCCTGACAGTTTATTAAGGAAGTATCCTAGACAAAAACAATAAACATAATTCCATGTTAAAATATACAGTGGAGAATATTTTTCGAAAGTGCAATTATTATTGATTATGATTGAGAATGATGTGTTCAGAATTGATAGATATTTGAATATAATTAAAAAATATTAAATTAGGGCCAAATAAATGATTGATGAAATAGACTGCAGAGTAAATAGTTATCTCAAGTATTTAAAAGACAATAATCCTGATAAGTCCATAAAAAAATTCCAAGTTGTTTTACTATGTAATCAATTAGAAATCTTCCTTAAAGAGCAAGTTTATTTACTTGATACAAGAGAATATATTTATAAAGACTAACAGATGTTTCAAGCGATTGAACATTCACCTAAAAAACAAGAATTTATTCGACCATGATAATTTTCCGATAAATAAATACTAACGAAAACAATTAATTAATTACAAAAGTTTTCATATTGCTATTGTATTTATTAGAAATCGATGAATGCATGATTTTATGAAACAATTTGATATTTATTTATATGAACAATATGTAATAATCTTTTGTAAAAGTCATCATTTCCGCTTTTTAACCGAAGACAGCCGAGATTGAATCTATTTTACTTGTAATTAAAGAAAGTATTTTTCTTATAATGAATGAAAAAAGCAAAATACATGATTGACATATTCTATAGAATTTAAAGGTCAAATAAGGACGAAGAGAAAAGAAAATAGGTTCGAACTATTGATCATAAAATATGGAAAATTGACATGATATGTCAAAATCTGAAAATCTTTGATATTGTAAAGTATTGATTGATGCTTGAATCGTGAACTATTTTTAAAAAATTATTTAAGACTAATTAGAATCAAAAATATGTTTTTATGTCTATGTCTCTCATTATAAAGATATTTCAATCTGAGAAAATGACTGAATCATCATTTAAATTGAACTAGAAAATTTTGTTCTATATATAAATCTAGGTAACTTATATTTTTTAAAAAGTCCAAAGAATATATAATTATTTTCATACTTATTATAAAGAAAAATTTATTTATCACGTTTCTATATGTAATAAAAGTACTAGAAATATTTTAGTTTCAAAATAGTATGTTCTGAAAGAAATCTATTCATAGAAATAATTGATTTTTTTCTTCTTCTTCTATATAATACAAAATATTCTGCAAGATATCCAATTGAATCTATTTTAATATTATTGATTACATATATATACATATCAACATAGTTATTTTTAGATACATTAATTATACAGGCAATAAACAATTTTCAACTAGTCAAAAATGAGGAAATTATATTTGAGATAGATTTTATTTACTTTTAGTATCAATGACTATTACATTATGTGTTCTTCAATATGTCGAAGTTAATTCTCAATAAGAGCATGCTCATCTTGCGTGACAGTCAATCTTTCATCTTATATTCACACACATTATTGATGATGGATAGAAAGAAGGAAAAGAAGAAGAAGAAGAAGAAGAAGAAGAAGAAGAAGAAGGAAAAAAAGAGTATAGACGATACTAGCATTAAAACCCATTAGATGTTAGTTTAAACAAGAGAACTGAATACATTCAAAATGTATTATGGAATATGATCAAGATTTTTTCTGGGATTAATTTATAGAATAATTCACGAAGTATTAAAACGAAACAAAAGAAGAAAAGAAAAAGGCCAAATATACTTATTATTATGAATATGTTCAATCAAATTGAAAAATATAAGTAAGTTTATCATTCGTATATTAATTTTTTTAACAGTAAACGTTTCTCTATACATTTGCGCTATAGTAACAATCTTTCTTCTTCGTAATATATATAAAGATCGTATACTATAATCGTACGCTTCAAAGTACTAGAACATAAAAACATATGTAGTACATATATATATTTTTGTCGATATTTCATGGTGACATGTGTTTCTATAGAAGTATAAAAATAGTAGTGATTAAGAAAGTTTAAAGTATCGACCGAATTATTTTTTTTTCAATGGAATTTGATGAAAAGGAAAAAGAAATTAATTGATTTCATTGTAATCACTATTCACCTGTTGTCGCATAGATCTCGCTAGGTCTTGTGTGTATATATAAAGAGAAAAAATAATAGACTATTGAATGTTAGTTATGTTGATAAGTTTTTTTTTATTTTTTTTATCTGTATGAAAAACTATAAATGTCATCAAGATAATATAGACATACAAATGTTTAGGTATTTATCAAATCAGGATGGTTTTTGGATTGTTCCTATCTAATAGATGTTTTTCTCTTTTTTGCTTCTTCGTCTTCGTCTTTCTTTTTTCTCTCCTTCCCCCCTTAACGTTTGCCGATAATTATGGTGAAATGGTACTAATATACATTGTGAAAAAAACTGTATGGGAATATAAACAAATCATGGAAAAAAATGGTTGTGCGCGCGTACACGCAAAATAAAGATAACAATATGGGAATTAACAACAGCGTGAAGAGAAAATGACAACGATGTTACAAGAATTATCATGTAGATCTTGTACAAATCTATTTCTTTCAGATTTCTTTTCTAGATGGTCAAATGATCATTTGATATCTGGAAAGTCTATTAAGAAATATTTATTATGAAAAAAATTCGTAAATATTTTCATCAAAATGTTACTTCGAATAGTAACAATAGCAGACAGTTTTCAACTTTATCTCCAAATCCTATGGGTGGACACTCAACGTAAGTTGTCAGTTAGACAGATTAATGATCAGCTAGTGACGAAAGAGGTCTTGAGGTTGGTTGCTTGACGAATTGGTGGTTGACGCATGTTTTGACATAATATGATGACAACATGGAACGGAAGGACAAATTGTTGTCGAATAGACAATTCTGTTATTTTCTATATATATATATTTTGACGCCATATTATTTTCTGGAGGAAAATTTCTATAATTCGATATCAGAAAGTCAATTTATGAAAATATCTGTCAATATATTTATAGTAGACATAATAAAGTTTATTATTTTAAAACCTACAACTTATTTTTCCCTAAACACATTTGTTTTTGGATGTCACGCGGCCGGAACTAATTGTTGTTGTTTAGTATCTCTTAGTAACAAGCTTTATTATAACGTTTTGCCAAAGGGCAATAATAACTTGTCGACGAAACTTTTCTTTTTTTTTTCTTCTTCTTCTTCTCTTTTTGCTACGTATCATTTGATGAGTAATAATTATAGTCCTTCTTTTCCTTTATAACTGATAGTAGAGATCATAAAACTAAGAATGTAACAAAATACTTTGAGCTTGTAAAATACTTGAAAAAGCCCATACTTATTCTGTCTTTTATCATAACTCAATAAATCGTTTTGATCAGATACGTTTTATTTTAAAGCGAAAAAACAGATCGGTCTCATGTAGACGGATGTGTGTCTGTCTCTCTTACAAATTCTTGTTTTGTCGGTAGGATATATATATCAAAAAAAAAACAAAACAAAAGAAGAGTGTCTTCCATCATTTTCTGGCATTTTGCTACTAATCGCTGTTAGTGACATTTGACAATGAAGTTGATCGTCACTCGTCTTTCGTGCTTATTTGTTGTTCTGGTTTTGTATATCGATTGAATGCTATGTTTTCTATTTCTTGTCATTCTCAAGAGAAAATTTGAGTGCTACACGAACATGCACTTCTTCATTGGATTCTATTAACTTACATCTAACAGTGTTCTTTCTCTCTCTCTCCTCATCTCCTTGGTATTTTTAACATAATTGTCAAACGCAAATCGACAAAATCAATTACTTGTTGATCAATATCATGAAATAATAGTTCGAACTATAATTTTCAATGAAAATTTATTATTTCAATTGATTTTGCGTCTTTTTCTCTCTCTCTCTATCTCCATACTATATGATTATGTATCAAACAAAGTATTCGATTAATATTAAACAACCTATTTTATGGACTATGTATGTAACTTTTATTCTATAAAAAAATATCTCTATTTTATTAGTTATGACTATATCCATAAAAGAATGATTACACTCCTTTTAGAAAGATAAGAAAAAAACCCATACATTCAATTTTAATTGTCATGTCAAAAAAAACGAATACGAATTTTCGAAATATCAAGTGTATTCTTCAAGAAAAACAAAATAATCGAGCTAATCTTTCTCTATATTCTTTTTTGTTCTTCTTCAGTATAAACGTTGATAAACATCACGTTTTTATTTACTTTATATATGCATAGAAAGATAAATCTTTAGTTCAACTGATTAGATTGGAATTTGTAAGGATGAATAAGATAAACTTAAAACATATATAGTATTCATTCATTTAATAACAAAATAATAAAATATATGACACTTATAAATAATAACTATCACTTATATATATTGTTAAGTTGGTTAGAGCCTTTATTGTTGTTATATATATAGATTTTATTTTACTTCTTCTTTTATTTTTGTATATATATATATATTTTTTCTTTTTCATTCATTCTTTATGTAAGTTGTATAATGCAGATTCGAATGAAAGAGGGACAGCATAAGTAAAGCACGCACTCTGCACATCGTTCTCGTTTTCCTTCTTCTTTCTTTTTTTCTTCTTATCTTGCTATCACGCATAATAATGTTCGGCATGCGTATGTATGCTATTGGCGACCATCATCATAGTGCCATTTTTTGTCAGCTTCTTTCGAGTTACTAGTCTTATGAACAACACGTATATATATATATATATCATTTATTGAAAAATGATCATAGAGTGTATATGTGCATGTGAGTTTGAATAGAATGAGAATCTTAACAGACGGATAGTATAATCGAGGCTGTATACTGAGAATTAAAAACAGATGATTATAGGGAATAGAAAGAAAAATGCCTATGAGAAAGATACTCCCGTATCATACTTCATTTCATAAACCATAACTCAAAAATCGATGAATATTGCATAAATTATCTTTGTATTATATCTCTTCGAAGTTATATTTTTAATCGAATGACTTTGTTTATCTGTTTTTATCTTATCTTTTAAAGTTATTTTTAGCACACCTGATTCACCAAAGTCACCACCCTCATACATAACATCTACATCATCCAATAATTACACATCACCGTCATCCGACTCGTCATCAGGTCGTTCCTATCTTCGTCTAAATAAATCACCATTATTATCACCATCAACATCCAATCAACTACCACCCAAATCTCCAGTATCACCAAGAGCTGCTGAGACAGTAAAACGTAGTTTTTTTCGTTTTAATTCAACACCAGCGAGTGGTGCAAATAATTTAATAAATTCAACTCCATCGACAAATCCATACATTACAAACATGGGTCAAACGGGTAGTAATGTTAAACGAAGTCAAAGTGATATTCAAACTTTTCTCGATAAAGAGAAAGAAAAATTTATTGAAAAAATTGAAAATCCAATTAAACAAAATGCTCATTTAGATGATTTTGAATTACTACGTACGATTGGTACAGGTTCATTTGGTAAGAACTAAATTAAAAAAAACTTTTTTTATTCATTTTCTTTTCCTTGATATAATTAGGTCGAGTATTATTAGTTACACATCGACATAATGCTGATGAAAAAGTAGCTTTGAAAATACTTGATAAACAAGTTGTTGTTAAAATGAAACAAATTGATCATACATTAGCAGAAAAGAAAATTCTTCAAGCACTAACATGTCCATTTATAGTTAAATTATTATATACATTTAAAGATAATTCTTATTTATATTTGGGACTTGAATATGCACCCGGAGGTGAAATGTTTACACATTTACGTGCTTTTGGACGTTATACAGAAGATATGACTAGGTTTTATGCTGCACAAATTGTTCTCGCTTTCGAATATCTACATCATTTGGGTGTGGTAAGTTTAAACAGAAGAAAAAAAATTCAATTGAATATTTTTTTAAAATTTAGATCTATCGAGATCTTAAACCAGAAAATTTACTCTTTTCTTCGGATGGTTATTTAAAAATGGTGAGTGTTCATTCATTTTACAATTAATTTCTATATAAATTTGATTTTTATTTAGACTGATTTCGGTTTTGCTAAACGTGTCAAAGATAGAACATGGACATTATGTGGAACACCAGGTATAAACGAAAAAAATAAATCTTTTTTTTGCAAAACTTCGTATCAAATTTTTAGAATATCTCGCTCCAGAAATTATTCTCAGTCGTGGGTACAATAAGGGTGTTGATTACTGGGCATTAGGTGTATTAATGGTAAATAATTTATAAAAAATATTTCTTCTATAAAAAAAAAATGTTTCATATAGTATGAAATGAGTGCTGGTTATCCGCCATTCTTTGCTGATCAACCAATCCAAATTTATGAAAAAATTGTTTCCGGTCGTGTTCGTTTTCCAAATCATTTTACTGTTGATCTTAAAGATTTACTTAAAAATCTACTTCAAGTTGATTTAACACGTCGGTATGGTAATTTAAAACCCGGTGTACGAGATATAAAAGAACATCGTTGGTTTAAAGATATGGATTTTATATCTATTTATGAGAAAACTATTACAGCACCATTTATACCACGAACAGATCGAGAAAATTATGAAACATATGAAGAACAACCATTGACTGTTAGTTCCACCGAACGTTATCCAAGAGAATTTACAGAGTTTTAGAAGTACATATTTTGAAATATTCATGTATTTCTTTACTTTTGCTTTGTTTGTTCTTTCATGTACTTATACATATATATATTCATATGCTATATAACTTTTTCCTTGCCTATGCGCATAGTTCTTTGCTAGTAAAGTTCTGTCTTTTCTTTTCTTTTTCTCTTCTTTCTCTGATGTTTTTTTTTTTTACTCGTGATATATTCTTTGTTTTTAAGAGTGTGCTTTATATGTTTATTGAAATGAGAAATAGAAAATAAGATTAATTATTGATCGTTTAGATTTAAAATACCAGAATGACCTTAATTTGGTTATCAATTAATTCTATTTTAAGTTATGCCTTGAAGTTATTTACAAGTAATTACAGAATATAATAATGACAACGAATTTACGTATACTTTTTTTTGAGATTTTTATTTTATATTATCAGAACTTGAAGGATTTTATATCAGTTATATATTGTAAAATGTATTTATTTATGACTATTATTGACGATAAGATAAAACTTCTTTTGGAATAAACTAAAATATGTCGATTGTTTTATTTATAGAGATTTGTTGTAAGTAAAAATACGTATTATTTGACAAAAACTAAGATGACTGGTAATTTAATTTTTGTAATAACTATTAAAAATGCACCTTTTTATTTTTATTGATACTATTTTTCTTTATAGCAGTATTTTATATAGTGTTCCTTTCGACCATAAATATACCGTTAGTCAATATGCCAAGAGGCGCTACGCTTTGTTTTTATTAAAAATGAAAAGAAGTTAAGGCAAGATAAAATCCTAGAAGTTTCGAGGGTTATATTCTGCAAAAACATAGAAGTTTCTTTTTATCTAGCGATATAACATGTTGCTATACTATCCATCTTCTAATCTAACATAACAACATCAAGGTGCGGAATACATCTTTTTGATCTTCGGATTATTTTTGCTCTAGAACATTTTTTAGTTATATTATGTATATATATTCTGTTTCTTTTTTTAGAAAATCAAAACAAAAGATAAGGTCGTCTGATTTGCATTACAATTAAATGCAAATCATCATGAATAAAATAGTTTTTTTTTGGATATCGATTATTTTTCATAGAATGAATTTCGTTTATCAAGATCAAATGTTTTATAAAACACAAAAAAAGTGAATGAAACTGTCTTTTATTTATTTATTTTGGATGTGCATGAAGAATAATAAGCCAAGCAATGAGAAAATAAAATAAAAATATCGGATAGAGTACAAGCATACGACGATTAGGATGTTGAGTTTGTCCAAGAAAACGAACACTAGCATACATAGTCCATGCAAAAGCAGTCATCACAATTAAAAATCGTATAATATGTAAAATAGGGATTGTTGATTTAGTTGGAATGTATAGTAGAATATTATTTATAAATGCTGATAATAACAATGGTAATAAGCAATAACCAAGAACACAAACAGATTGAAAAAATGAAATTTTTCCACCGAGTAATTGAGAATTCACCTAAGAAATAGAAATAATTATATTATAGTTAGGATAACTAAGAAAAAAATCACGTATAAGATAAGATATGTTGTTTTTATTAGAAAAATATTTCAATTATTCAGTACTTAATAAAAGTACAATGTTCTATTGAATACGCTTTATTCTTATCAGTCACATATACATTATTGGATCATAATAGATAAAGACATGTAACATATTTGTATAGGAATTTTCTTCGAAATAGAATGTATAGTAAGAAAAAGATAATTTTTTGTTACAAGAAACTGATCTGCAGCATATGGATATTGAATACTGATCTCATAATGTGTAAGATAAATTTATTATTTTAATTTCTCGATAAGAATTTTAAAAAAGACATACTGTAACAGCAATTGAACCAATGAGCATCAATGTAAATACTTCAGCAAATTGTACACCAGTACTTGATTTAGTTGCACTACTTTGAAGAAGAATTGCTAATGTTGTAACTAAAATAAGCGGACCCCATAGATCCCACTGTTGTAAAAGTGTAGATGAATGACGTGGTATAACAGCATAACCAAATTTTCGAAAAACGGCACCAAGGTCACCTATTCGAAAAAATAAAATTACGAAAATTTGTTTAACTAGTTTTCTAGACAACATACGTTTTATTGTATCTATAACAGGTTCATCAAGTGTGGATAAACCATTTTGATTAGTTCGATTTGAAGATGATGACATTTCACCTTCTATCATATCAATTCCATGTGAAGATGAACTAAGAAATGGTACTTGATCTTGCTCCATTGATGTATCCATAATTTCAAAACAAAAATGAATGTTTATGAGAAAATCATCTGCCACATGTATGTATGAATCATAATAAATTACATCTGAAAAAAAATATACATCTATCATCTTTATGGAGAACTAATATAAGAAATTCATTGGTGAAGTTTCTTTTCCAATGAACGCGCAGGAATAACTTTGCAACAATTATCGGAGAAACCTTAGTACTATGGTAAATTTATTTCAGTAGTTTCTTTTTTTTCTTCTATAATTATATACGCAGAAAAAAAAATATGTACTTACATATTTATAAAAAGTCGATGGGATACACTCAAAAATGTTCTGTGCGGGAAAAAAGGATTAGTAATAAGATTATCAAAATGAAATTTGTTGTGTAGAAAGAAAAAAAAAGAAAAAACGGTTTTTCTTTTGACAGAATTAGAGACAATAAGTACCTTGTCACAGTTGTTATATTCGATTTTTTTTGTAAAATAAGGCCATGTAATGATTCTTATCTTAGTAATAATGTTTCATTTTATGGCTCGAACCGTATCGAAAAAAGGACACAAAAATTACATTGTCCAAATAGTTTGCGTTTCGTTTTTAATAGAAATGTTTAAAGTTTTTTTTTTCTCTTCTTCTATTACGAAAGATATAACAATTAAACATATTTCTAGAGATGGGAACAATTTGGAGGATATTTGTGATATTTTTGACGTATTATCCATTTATTGTTGCATCGGTTTCACTTGAATCATTGTATTTTAATTTGATTCATCGAAATATTAGTGATTTTACATCATTTGACAGTTTTTATCGAGATCTTTTAAGAGATACTCGAGCACATCGTCTAACTGATACTGTTTCTTCACCGATTAATATCGATAAAATACTATTAAATGATTACAATGAAGATTATATAAAGAATTCAGTAGGATTTTCTAATGAAAATATAATTTTCTCATATTTTATTTTTTTGTAGTGTTATGAAACTGCATCAGATCTTCTCTATGCACATGGATACAATAGAACTAATCTGAATTTATCTATTAATGATATAAAATCTCTTCTTCCAGCTCTTCTTTACACTGTCGAAAATCCTGGATGTAAACGTCAATTACCACCTACAAAACCTTATCCATTTTTTGATAGTAATTAATATTTATCTCTAAAATAAAATCTATATTTGTATTTTAGTATGGATATTCGGTTTAATCTTTATTGTTGCAATGAAATTCATTCATTTAATTATTTTTTTTATTTCTGGTAATCATTCTTCAGTATTAACATCTGGTGGATTAGCTAGAGCTATATTAAATCATGCTGATAATGTAGAACCTCCAACAGATGAAGTTCGTTTTTCACCTGTGAAATATCATCTATGGTTAGGTCTTAGTTTTAATGCATTTACTTGTGGAATTATTCTTGGTACAGTTAGTTATCATTTGATTCCGCATGTATGAAAAATGAAGTCTTTCTTTTTATGTCTAAGATTTTGTTTTTAAGATTTATGAAGTACCAAATGAAGATTTTAGTTATACGTATATTCTTCGTGGAACAGTTGTTTTATGTGGTGTCTTTCTTTTTTTTATTGTTGAAAAACTTCTTCGATTTCGATTTAAAGTTGATGAAGTAGGATGAAATTTTATTCATATACATATAAAATAACAAACTTTAGGCACATTTGGATGAACCAAGTAAAGGAAAAGAATCATCAGATGCACCTGTGATACAAATGGCTAAAATGCGTGAAACACTTCACGTTCATAACCGAGTAATTGATTTTATTTTACATTTCGAAAAAGTAAAAATTATATCTAGGATCCTCTTCAACATAAACAATCTGACTCACCAATACGATTACCAGTAAGTTCGAAATTCGATAAGAAAGAGACTGTTGATTGAAATTTCTTATGTTTAGTCAACACTTGATAATATTGATGAAACAACTGGTTTACAAGTTGATGAAGGACCTATTAAAAAAGACAATCATTCTGGTCAACATGAACATCAAACACGCAATTTTATAATATATCATATTATTTATGATTTTTCAAATGATATTATATATGGATGCGGTTTATCGACCGCATTATCACATGATCGTCTTATTGGTTTTGTTTTATGGTTAATGATTTTCACTGAAGGATTTCGACGTCATTCACGTAAATGAAAAATATTTTTTTGAAATAATATAAATTTATTTTTTTTATTTAGAACTTTTATCATCATTAGGTCGAAAACTTGGATTTGGATTTTTATTTTTTTCAGTTGTTTTTCTTATACTCGGTTATATTATTGGAGGCATATTAACCGGAATTAATCAACAATTTACTATTAATTTTATTTATATTCCAAAAGAATATATTTATGCAATGGTCTATGGTGCACTTTTTTATACTGCACTTGTAACTCTAGTGAGTGCATAAACTGATTACTCTTTTCATGCAGAAATGCAAAATCTTTATTTTTAGATTCCGGAATTAAATGATTTTGGTCAACATTTACATATACATGAAAAAACAGCAAATCAAACATTAAAAAAACAACGTACATTAAAAATCTTTGTATTTATATGCCAAAATGTTTTTCTTGTTATCGGAGTATTAATTGCTTTAATATTAGCTATTATATGGCGTTATTACCATCGAAAATCTATTTCTGAATATATTTGTCCACGTGATTCATTCCGTCCGTATTGTCGTTTTTGATCTTAATTTAATTAAATCTCGTTTTCTGTTTTTTGTTTCATTTCTGTGATGTAGTATCTGCTTATTATTCTGATCTCTTAACTGATATTAAATCAATTCTGACATTTCCATTATTTCTTAAAATATTAACCACAATATTTTGAATATTTCTAGAGAATGAATTTTAATCTAGTCAATGTTATCATGACAGTTTTTATACTTGAAATACATTCAGTATTAACAATTGATATAGAATTAAGTGATAAAGAACAAAAATTTCTTTATTCACATTTACAAACATCATCGGATTTAAAATTATATTATGAAAAAATTTTGGAATCAAATAATATTGATGATATAACACGTCTGGATCGTCCTATAACTCAAAATGATATACAACGAGGTGATTTTGAACATAAGGTATATAATAAATTAACATTGCTTGTCAAATAATCAGAGATCATTTTCATACAATGAGTGCGTTGTCGAGGTATAAATTAATTGAAAACAAACAGAAACCAAATTCACGAAGTTCATGGCATGGCTTCGATATTCTATGGATTCTTGTATAACAATTAAAGCTAATTATATACAATGAATAGTAATTGTAGACTCGATGATACCTATACCTTGACTAGAAGGTTTTAATAAATTATCTTTGAGGATTCAAATAAATTTTCTATTTGTAATATATATATTCTATAATCTCATTTTTGTTATTATTTAGTGTTTCAGTTCAGCAGATGATCTATTAAATGCATTCAATATTCAACCAAATAGTAGTCTAAGTAATACTGATATAAAACGATTATCACCGGCTTTGATAAATGTTAAATTTAACGATGGTTGTAGAAAATCAGAAGGACGTGTTACATGGAAAAGTATAAAATTGTTTGTGTTTTTCATTTTTGACTTGTTATTATTATTATTATTTAGATATGTTAATTGGAATACTTACTGTAACACTTATTAATTGTTCAGCTCTATGTGGTGCTATTATTTTACCATTTCGTAAAAAACCAGCTTTTAAATGGATTCTTACTGGTTTTATTGGTTTAGGTAGAATAAAATCGTGTTTCTCTTTTTTTAAGAAATAAATTGATTATTTTCAGCTGTTGGAACACTTACCGGGTCAGGAATATTTCATTTAATTCCCATGGTTTGTTTGTTTTTGAATCATATGAAAAAAAGAATAATATTTATTTTATAAACATAGGCATTTAACATTCCAGATTCTGATATTCATCATAATTATCTGAATAAATCTCTTATACCCATGATAGTTATTTATATATATTATATGCGAGATCAATTATTGAGAATTTTTTTTAATATTGAAACTGTTCGTATCCATTCTTCGTTTTAAATTTTTAAATTTATGTATATATTTAGATTATTTGTACGCATACTCATGGTGATGATGAAGTACTAGTAAGTTTATCATGCTATTTGCTCTAAATAGATTTGCTTATATCGCTCTTAATTATTACAGACAGAATCAAATAACTGTCATGTTGATTCTACTCCTTCAAGTCTTATTGATTCAAAACGTATCTCAATTAATTCTGCTGTCAAAGTACGTGTCTTGCTTATATACACCTATGATTGATTAATAAATTTATCTTTGCTTTTACTTGCATGATATATGATAGAAGAATTTTGTAAAGTTATTATATATTTTTAAATCACATGATTGTTTTTCGGTTGAAAGATAAAGAAATTGTCCAAGGGCGTCATTCTCAGCTATGCTCTTGATCGATGTACGCTTCGAAATTGTCTTTTTTGACATAATGACACGCTGTAATCAAGAGGAACCGTAGATTAAGTCTGTAAACTATGAGAATAATCAATAATATTAATTATTGTATTTGAAAACGTCAGCTTATAAAAATATTTATATTGAATAAATTAGCACGTTCTGGATATTTGTTTATGTCTATTAAATTAACATTATTCTATTATGTATTGTTCAAAAAATTGCATGATGTTTGTTGTTGAGTACTTGTAGTCTTTTATTCAATTTTTCATAACAACATGAGTAACTTTTATTTTCCACAGTGATATATTCTTTTCAACTTCGATTTTCCAAGTCAACTGTTCGAGCGAGAAATTGTCCGTTTTCCTAGGTGAGAAATAAAGGGAGATTCATTATCAAAATTTAAGAGTTTGAATACATTTTATTGATAATTTTCATGTAAATTCTTCTCGTTTTCTTTCAGCCGGTATTTCAGAAAAAACATAAACATGGATTAGTTCATAATTTGAAGAGAATGAAAGCGGCTGGGTGGATGATATTTATTGGTGATATGTTACATAATTTCATCGATGGTTTAACATTAGGTGCTGCATTTATGGTTTCAATTGGTGAAGGTCTTCGAATGTCATTTCCGATAATATGTGAAGAATTTCCTCATGAATTAGGAGATATTGCTGTTCTACTTAGTAGTGGTTTAACTATCGGACAAGCATTAATAATGAATTTTCTCTCAGCATGTAGTTGTTATCTTGGTTTTATAATTGGCGCTAAATTAGGTGAACTTGAACAATTTCATCCATGGATTTATGCATTAGCAGGCGGAATGTTTGTCTATATTGGTCTTGCAGATATGGTATAAGATTAAATTTTTCAATTTTAAATATAATGTTTGACTTTTTCTAGATACCTGAACTTGTTTCTATGGGTGATGAAATTGAAAAAGATTATTTACAGGCAAATCAAGCAGTAACAACTGTAGTGAAACTTAAAATTTTATTGTGTCAAAATAGTGGTTTAATATTAGGTTTTGTTATTATGTTTGTATTAGGAAAATATGGTGAACATTTGGAAAATTTAATTAAATTCTAAGAAATGAAAAGTCTTCTCTTTTTTCTGAAATTGTATTAGTTTGTGTTTGTTTTTGAGAATGAAACTGATACAATCCGTCCAATTTATTTGAATGAAAATTATATTTGGATCTGTGAATTTGTGTTTGTTTTTTTTTCCTTTTCTAATTCTTATCTTACAATGTGCCTTCTTTGTTAATGAAATAGTTTTTCTTTAGTTTTATCTGAAGAGTGATATTCTTGTGCTTTTAAATTGAAATACGATGATTTTTTTTTGAAAGTATTAGTGCTGAAATAAATAAGAATTTAGTAAAATTACAGTTTATTATGACATATATCTTTGAAAGAATTGCATAAAAAGGGTCCAGTTAAGTGTGCTCCAAATTTGGAGTTGACGAATGTCTAAGTTTTCGTGAAAACTCTACCTGAAAACTGTAATCATGTGTTTTTGATTGCTCTAATAGATACTTTGGTCTATGTTGAGTCGACTGGTGACACTTAAGAAAAAACGCACATAGTTACAAGCGACAATTTATTGATAAACTGGAACTCGTAAACTCCAAATCTGGAGTTTACTTAACTTGACCGATGAAAAGCGAAAAGGAATCACTTGCGGAACTTTTAACGCAACATAGTTTATTTTGGCAAGTCGTTTTCATATATAATATACCTACAAAAGTAATCGAACTTGCAAGAATCAGTTTCGACTCTCGTCAGTGCCATTGAATGTTTAATACCAAAGGTGGGCTAACGCGACCACCAGTGGCGGACTTAGGGGGGGGGGGGGCGATCGCCCCCTTCCGAATTTTTTTTTGATTTTTCACAGCAAAAATGAACGAAAAAATAGGTTTACATTACTTCGGTTGGACTCAAAAAATAGCTTTTAACCAAAATCGCCCCCCTCCCCAGGTATCCCCCCTCCATACTCAAAAAAAAAAAATTGCCCACCTCCTTCCAAAATCCTAGATCCGCCACTGGCGACCACTGCTAGTCTTTGCTTGTGCATCCGCGATTTTCAGGTTACGCTATAATTATTCCTATAAATAGAATCTTTAAACCTGAGCAGACTTTTATAACATATGAAAATTGATTAAAAAAAAAGAAGCGTATTTATATACTGACACACACAATTGTAATTATGTATCGACATCTATCAAGAATGAAACGAATATTCAACCAATGAAATGAATTATAAAGTCGAACAAAGAAATCATTTTGTTTTATTTCTTTTTTTCATAACTGTTTTTGATTATACTTTAATCAATGGCAACTTCATCGGGAACTGTACCTGATGTATTACCATCACAAGTTTTAAGTGTTAGTCCAAGTTTACCAACAAATAAACTTCTCGATAATTTAACTGTAAATAAATTTTCAATTTATTCTTTTTTTTTGTCTTATTATTGTTTATTTTTCTTTAGAAAAATCAAAGACTTTTACAATCACTACCACAAAATTATGAAAAACGTCATTTTTTCACAGGACTTTATAAAACATTACTTGATGATTTTTTCTATTCACATGAACGTGCTGACATACAACTTTATGCAGCTATATGTCTAGCCGATATTATTCGTATTTATGCACCAAATTTACCTGAAATACCATCAGAGAAAATGCTTGTATGTTAAGAAAATAAAAATAATATTTTCTATATTTTTCATTTAATTAGAATATGTTTCTATTTCTTGCTCGTCAATTAATCGGATTAAAAAAAATTGATGATCCATTATTTACACGACGTTATTATCTACTTGAAGTAAAATCAAATCAATAATTGAATTTTTCAGAAAAATATTTCTTTCGATTTTTAGAATTTAAGTATGGTTCAATCATTTATACCAGCAGTTAATCTCGAAGATAATCGAGGTTGTCAAATAAGTACTGTTGTACTTAATAATTTATTTAATGCTGTGCAGTACGTATTAATCATAATTTATAAGTAGAAAAATTTTTTTTGTCTATTATAGAAAGAAACATACAGATCAATTGAAAAATTTAATGATCGATATTGTTTCGGTTATTTTAGCAGAATATGAAACAATACCATTTTCACTATTAGAATTACTTTTCGCAAGAATTATCGATCCAGAAAAGGTATTTTATTCAACTCTTGTTTATATATAGAAGAATTTTCTGTTCTGGATTTAATAATCAAAACTGACATATTCATAATTAATAAATGCGAGAATTTCCAGGCCGTTGATGATTTAACTTAGTTGATTAACTACGTGTTCGTGTTATATTTGAATATATAATACAGGAAGTCAAAAAAAAACCTTCCAATCTTTGAACTTATGGTGTTATATATAGAATTTAATAAACTTGTATATGTTTTCTAGAAATTACGTGAAGAATGTTATGAATTAGTTGAAGCAATCATACGTCGAAGTGAATCTATTATTAAGTCACCAATTGCTGAAGTAAATTTTGATTATATTTTGTTTGTTTATTTATTTCTTATCTATTATTTTAGTATTTCAAAGCAGTTTTAGTTACCGAAGATACAGAATCATTACATTTACATTCGAAAATTTATTATATATTCGACGCATTAAGTCATATATCCGATACAATTGTTGATGAAATTATTCCAACAATTGAACATCGATTAACAGTAGATAAATAAAATAATTCGAAAAAATTTTTTTATTAAAAATTTTATTTTAGGTATCAAATGAAAAACATCGTCGTGATGCCGCAAAAATCATTGCTTATGTCACAAGTTCACCAAATAATGATATTGCAAAAAAATATAAAACTCTATGGAATGCATTTCTTGAACAGTATATTGAATAATCTTTACTTTTTAGTTCTAAAATAAATATTATTTAGATTTAAAAATGGTACACCCGAAGTTCAATTAACATGTATGAAACATTTGAAAAGTTATTTTGTTAATCATCCAGAATTAACATCTGACCTTGAAGGTTAATATTTTATTAGAAGAAAAAAGAAATGATGTATAAATTAAAATTCATATATTTTTTTTAGATGTAATGGTTCAATTAAGTCTTTCAGCTGATACAAATATACGTTCACAATTAATGACACAAATTCGTGCTATAACAAATTCAAATCTTTGTGATATAAGTGATAGAATGAAACAAATTTTATGTGAACGTGCAAGAGATAAAATTGTAAGAAAAAGAAACAAAATAATAATTTCAAAGATAGAATTTTTCTGTTTTTTCTAGTGGGAAGTTCGAAAAGAAGCACTTGATTATCTTGGACATGTTTATAAAAAAGAATGTACTAATGCAAATTGGTCAGATGATATACAAAAACAGTTAACATGGATAGCAAATTGTATTATACATTTGTATTATCAGAAAGCGACACAAGACAAGTAAGACAAAAGAATATACTCGAGAGAATTTCAATTGAATTATTTATTTATTTATTAATTATAGATTATTAGCTGAAAGACTTTTGACTTTTTATTTAATGCCATGGGATGTTAAAACAGATGATAAAGTACGAGTTTTATTAACATTATATTCAAATGTTAGCGAAAATGCTCAACGGTAAGATTCTTGTGAAATATTCGAACGTTATCGATAAAAAAACTAAATTAATAAGTGGAAAGAAGATCTTCCGAATAATCTCTGTTCAGTATGTAAAATCAAAATAAATGTGGAAACTTCGGATTTTATCCGAGAGTTGTATGTACTGCAAAAAGTGTATAGGGAGATATCAGTATTTTCGTAATAATTCGTCCAATTTAGGCTCAACTTCGAATTCGATCTTGATGAGACTGAATTGTGTAGAAAATATCATCAGAATCTATCTCTCCTTTCGAAAGTTATCGTGCATACGGACACACTGACCGATTCTAGAGTGTACTCACTTTTTGAGTACACAAAAAGAAATATTTTAAATTTTCTCTGAGGCAACTAAACTCTCATTCTATCTTCATTTATTTATGTTCTCGATTGAATAATTTTCTTTTTCTTTAGTGCAATTCGTGAAATCATTCACAGTAAATTTGTGTAAGTATTCTATTGTATTACTATGTCTATCTAATTATTATTTTCTCATTAGATTTCGTCGTCAATTGGATAAATTAATTGATTTTTGTTTGCAAATGGCTGATCCAAACATCGGAAATGATGATAAACAATTGATCGAATTAAAACTTGTTAGTCTTATTCATGCCATTGCTATACGTATGTATTTTAACATCTTGAAAAGATAAAATCCATAGCTTTTTTTTCTTATTAAAAGGTTGTTTACCTAATCCAGATAAAAATGAATCCGTATTAAAAGCATTTGCTATTTATGCTATTAAACAGCATAAACAATCATTAGTAAACACAAATGAAACAAGTATTTTATCAGTATTTAAACAAGCTATATCCGATGGAATTAAATCAAAAGAATGTTATGCTTTAGCTGTATATTCGAATAAAAAATTTTTTTAAAGATTAAACTAAAGAAATTTTTACTTTCTAGAATGGTATGGGACAAATGTTATTAGAAGAAGCAGCTAAAGAACAAAAACGTTTTCCAACAAATACAACAGATGAACAAACAACAACAACAACAAATGTAGAAAATAATATTCAAGGACAATATACCAAAATGTGCGGATTAATCAAAACAATGTTTGAAAAAATTTCAACACTTTTATTTGATCAAGAAACAGTTAGTAAATTACTTAAATTTATATTTGAACGAGTATCAAACGGTAAAAATATTAAACAAAAAACAATTGAGTTAATAATCTTTTATTCTATATTTACAGAACCAGAACAATCGACTTTATACTATGAAAATATTAATCAATTATTAAAGGTTTGTATGAGATCTTGAACGATGCGCACAAGAGTATGAAGTGATGGTGAATCGTCCGCAAAGTTCGCCATGCGCATCTTTCGTATACCCTTTATTCTAATGGATAGTCTATAAAATCGATTTGTATTTTACAGGTTTTTATTCAACATCCATTTATTTTTAATTCTCCAGAATCACTTGAATTTCTTTGTAATCTATTAAAACAACAAGTACTTGAATTAGGTTTGTATACATACAAAAACAAAACTATCTTTTCTAATTTATTTTTATTCTTAGCTCCTATACTCATACGTACAATTGAAGCATGTGCACCATTAATTATTGCATCAAATCAACGTAACATGTTAACGTATATATTTACTTGATTTTCTTCGAAAAAAAACGAAAAATATTTTTTTATAAATTTTAGACTTATCGATACTGAACTTTCATCATATTTAACTCTTCATCCACCGATTGCAAAACGTGCACTCTATTGTATGTGTGCATTACATCCAGATAAAAGAGATGAATTACTTCAAAAAATGATCGATGTAAAGAAAATGTTTGGATTGATTATTTATATTTAATTTATAAAATTTAGGATACACAATATGATCAATTTGATAATGAACAATTTATTACTCGGCTTGTTTTACTTGGTCATATGATACAAATATCTCCACAAGCACTTGGAGATATTGGTAAACGAATACTTAATAATATATCGAAATATATTGTTGATAAACAACCAACAAATGATATTGATGATGATGATAATATGACAAGTTCATTTCTACATGGAAATTTTACTTTATTAACTGATGAACCACATTATGATCCAGAAATTGGAGCAGATACTCGTGTTAAAGTAATTATATTGTTTTTTTGATGATTATACATTGATTGTCTTTTAATTTCTAGCGTGAATTAATCAAAGCAATGACTCGAGCAGTATTAGGTTTACGTGAAAATTCAGGTAGTTTATTTACAATTACGTATAAACTTATACGAAAATGTATTGAAAAAGATCAAGATTTTACGGGTGAAATGAGGTAAGAATTTCTTATATATCTATTCCATTAATTCATTTCTTTTTATTTTTAGTGAAAGTGAAATCATTTACATTCGTCTTTGTGGTGTATCATGTTTATTAAAATTAATTTGTAATTCATATTTTTATACACGTATAAAACCTGAAGATTTTCTTACGATAATGACATTACTTCGAGTAAGAATTTCGTTTCTAAAACAATAAAACAAAAATAACGTTCTTTATATTAGGATCCATCGTCACCAATTCGTCAACGAACATATCGTAAATTAGCTGAACATTTACGTGATCCATTATGTCCTATTGAATTACTTGCATTATTAGCATTTGCTGCTAAAGAACCTGAACGTGAACATCGTGAACAAATTCATCGTTCAATGTTACAAATTATTGATACACGTCGTGAACATATTAAACTTCAATTATCTTATAAAACAGCTCATACAAGTAATGGTCATCAACCAACAAATGGTTTCGATCATGATGATAAAGATGATGATGAAAATAGTTCATCAACAACTGATGATAAACCTATTGATTATACATTATATCCCGAATATTCTCTAACATATTTTCTATATTTTCTTTCCAAATCACCAGCATTTATTTTATACGATGATATTGAAATGTTACATACAATGACGGATTATATTTTATTTTTATTAGATGCATTATTATTACGTTGTGATACAACAGTTGGTTTATTTTACAAAGGTTTATTACGTTCAATAAAATCAGCCGAAGATGCATCAATATCACCTGATAAAGAAGAAAAAGCTGAAAGAAAAGATGCATTAAAAAAATTACATGTACTTGTTGATCTAGCTTATGTTATTTTATCTCAACGTGCATCATCATTAATGATATGCCGAGCTAGTTCAAATGTTCCACTACCTGATTTGTATTTTAAAAAAATACGTTATAATCATTTTTCATATTTACCAAAAGATTTTAAAATAAAACTTAAACCAATAGCAATTACATCAACTACAACAACAACAACACCAGCAGCAGCAGCTAATGATACACCAACAACAACAAATAAACGTAAAACAAATTCTGATTCAAATAATACAACAGCATCAAGTATAACAATTATCAAAACACCAACAAATACTACAAGACGAAAAAAAATCAGTGGAGATAATGACGAAGAAAATGATAATTCAGCAAAGAAACAAAAAGCTCTACCAAGTATTAAAAAACGTAAACGACAAACTAGTAGTAATATTGAAGAGAATAACGGTAAAAAATCAAGTAAGAAAATAATTCGATGTATATATATTTTATTATCTTTGAGGACATTCGTAAAAAAATCATGAAAGATTGAAATTCTCTCTTTCTACTAGCAAAACGTTTTATAGTATAGAAAATATTTCATAAGACTAGATGTTTAGACAACTACAATTAGCGGCGGCGCCAGGATTCTTGATTAGGGTGGGCTCAGATAGAATATCATAGGTTTTTTTAAGATCTGAAAAAAATTTCAGGGTAGGCTGAGCCCACTTCAGCCCACCCTTGGCGCCGCCACTAACTACAGTGTTTTATCTTTTCGGCTGTGCGAATCGAACAGTCGAGTGGGCAAAATGAAAACTTTGGGTGAGCGCCGCCTATCAGTGCTTTGTTCAAGTCTCGTATTTTGGATAGACGAATCGAAATTTCGGATGGGCGCCGCCCACTCAGCCTACTCGCTAGATAAAACACTGAACAACTATCAATATTCATAGAATTTTGGACTTCGTATTATCATTCATTTCTTATCATTTTCATGATACAAGTTCTTTTTATAATGAATTGCTACTTGTGAGATATAGTGTTTAATACCGCATCAAAAAAAAAGATTGAATAACTAAATAGACTGATATTTGATAAGAAAAGTGGGCACATAAATATTTTAATTCATGACTTCTCTATGTATTCTTTTTCTTATTAAAAAATTCTTATTCGAATTATAATATATAAATAAATTTCATCGTATGATTATATTCGGTGACTATTGTATACAACAATTTAAATTCAATAAAGATTTTCAATTATAAAATGTCATACTTCTATTTCTAAAGACAAGAAAAAAAATTCTATTAAATTGTTTTATAAGCTCTAGACCTCGAGAAAAATACTTTTAACTCACTCATATCATTTGACCTTCAAGACGCTAGTATAATATTTGAATAATAAAAAAAAGATGAAATTTATAATCACACTCTTTTCGACATTGATGTAATCATTTATATCGCTCTCTATTCACACATCATCAATCAAAATATATGTTTAATAGACATTTTAAAATAAACATATATCGTATGAAGAACGAAAAGAAAATATCTTAATTAAATATTAAACTTATTTTCTTTTTTTTCTCTCGAATATATGAATTTATGATTAAGTTCTAAAGAAGGACAAAATTTGCAACTTAGATAAGAGAAACAACTTAAATAAACATACAAAATAGCTTATTAATATAAAACATTCGGATTATTTATTTTAATCCTTTACTGATTATATAGAAAATAATCTCGCGTGATACATGTACTAAACATTAGTCGTTAATCGCTGAGAGTAGAGATTATTATCTGGCATTCTTTCTTTTTTTATTTCTTGTAAGAAAAATATTAGACTAATTTTTGTATTTAGGTTCACCATCAGTTAATGGAAATAACAGTCGAAAAACTCCAGCAAGTAGTTCAAATCGAGCTCGTGTGAATTTTGCATATGAAAAACCTCAATTACGTTCAGCATCATCATCATCTTCATCACCATCACCGAAATCAAAATCTCGTGTCAAAAGCAAAGTTTAACACAAACATAATTGACATATATATATACTTACAATAATGAACTATTTTTTTTTTCATTGGTTTGCAATAATATAATACTCATATGTATCTTATAGATAGAAAGATTAAATACAAGAAAAGTGTTTATTTTTTACTGTATATTATAAAATACAAGCAAATAGAAATATAGTGTATAGATCATATATACCATATATGTATGTGTATTTTTCTTTTTCTCTCTTTTTCTTTTTTGCTGTGTGAATGTATTTTTTTCTTTCTTTGATCTTGTATAACATATATCCTTGATGTTACAAACATTGACTATATCTATATATCTCACTTCACTTATATGTAAATTTATCTCAAAAACGATGATTTAGAAAAAAAAGTGCACTTCATAGATTGAGAAGAGTATGTGACTCAATTGGTTTATGAGCACATGCGCCTGTGGCTTTACGACAAGTAGAGTATATGTCACTTGTTTGCTTATGCAGCAAGGTGTGATCAGATTCATTTTTTCCGGCATCAATGACTGATGTGTTCTGTTCTTCCATATATACAACTATGATTTAAAATCAACAGGAAAAAAAAGAAGTTCTTTTTTTTTTCTTCTTCTTTCTTCTCTTCTTACGTAGTATTTGAGGCCACGAAACGTACGACAGTAGGTAACGATGATTTTGCTGAATTTGATATTCTATGTATATATGTACCAAATATGAAGACGAAAGCAAGTGTCAATAATATTAAGAAAGATTTATAATATTAACAATGATGAATAATAGGTAATGTATATGAAATTTATTTGGTGTCCGACAAATGAACTACATAGATAGACACGCACGTGCATCTATATATATATATATGTGTGTGTGTGTGTGTATGAATATGTTCTTATCTCGAGAGTTGATGATGGAGACGATCGGGCAGTATATAGTCTGTGTTTATTTGTAAAATGCCTTTTCCCATGCGCCCTTTTTTTTTTATTCTTATTTTTAACCTATACTAATATGGACAAGGTCGATTGATTGATAGAAAGAAATAGATCAAATTCTTCTTCATATGCTTATTCTTTTTTTTATTCGTTTTTTATCTTACCTTATAACTTTTTGTTACAATGGTTAAATCAAGATGATGATGACGATGCTTAATTGAAGGAGGAGTATCCATGTTTCGATCAATATCAATAAGATGTATTATTTACGATTGAACGAGTGAGATAGAAAAAAAAGCACTAAATTTTTAATTATTAGTTTAAATAATTAAAATAATTTGTTTTAATTTTGATTTTTCGTTTTGTTTTTTCAAGGACCGATCTTGTTAAAAACTCTGGTAGTTTACACATTTATTATGCTAATAAAACTTTTAAACATTGGAAAAAACGATGGCTTCAATTACAAGATCAACAGTTGTCTATATATCAAGGTAAAAGAATTATATTTGTTTTATATATCATTACTAAAAGTAAATTGTAAATAATTATTTTATTTTATTTCTACAGATTCCTTTTATAAACGTTTGGAAAAGACGATTCATATTCAAAATTATCGAGTATCCATTACAAATTCATATGATTCAATATCACACAAAGGATATACTTTTAAAGTAATCGAAATATTATGTGTATTTTTCTTTTTTATTATCAAAAATATTTGTTTCATTTAATAAATCTAGATCTATAATCCTTATTCGTCCAATGAAAAACCAATTTATTTTGCTGCAAATACTAAACAATCAATGACACAATGGATCAATGCTTTACGTCTTTCAGCTTCAATTATTAATGATGTTCCTGTTGAGTAACTATTCTTTCATATATTTTTCTATTTACTTTTTTTTAATATTCATCGATTAGAACATATTTTGGTACTGATTTGCATTCAATTGATTCAAATACTGAATTAGATTATAATGGTTGGATGAATACTAATAGTTCAAAAACACAATATAAGTAAGAATAAACTTGTATTCGAAACGAAACAAACGCCATTTTAAAAGAAAATAACTGTCCTTTTCTCTCTTTTACTTCGTTTACGTCTGATGAACGAGGCTATTTTACAACGATCAAGAAAAAAAACCCAGCGACAGAAAAAAAGGCAATTTGCATCTCAATTGCGACGTGAAGCAATGTGTATGCTGTTCCACGAATGATTGTAGTCGCATACATACATGTACATACGTATATCGTTGCTCTTCACATAACGTCTACCTGTATTCTTTAGTGCAGCCATCTAATATTATCAATTTTCAATTCTGCACCGCCGGCGACGACATACGCGTGCACGCAAGGCTCTACATTGAAAAGTGTTCGACACTGTTTTTGTAATTTTATGTATAGATGGATGAACGCACTGTCCCTTGTTCATGTTTAGTTGTATGCTTTGATGTATAGTGTACAGTTTACTTTAAAGTAATAGTAACGCTAGTCAAAGTAATATAACGAAGAAGAAGAAGAAGAAGAAGAAGAGAAGAAAAATTGTTCTTCTTTTCATATACACCTTTTAATATCGATAAGACAGTTGTAGAAATTTGAGCTGCCTATATGGGGAGCTACACAAGATTTGATTGAGCGCAAAGAAGGATTTGTTTTTTTTTCCTTTGAGGTGCATAGGTCAAGACAAAAAAAGAGTATTGAATGCCATCTATCTGTAACCATCTGACCGGTAATACTAAGATAGTAGTAATAGTAAGAATCATTCAACGGCAAGTATAAAAAGAAAATGAAGTAGATAACGGAATAGTAGTAGGTTATATATTAGGTAAAATTACAAGTATTCTTAGCATTAAAGATGAAAAATATAAAACAAACTCTATTTCTCAAGTAAGTTTTATTGATCAAGAACATTTTACATTATTTCATACGTATATACATATGCCCTTGTTATTTCTTAGATCGACCTTGTTTAAGATTAGTGTCTGTAGATCAACCATCACAGCAGAGACTAAGCAAGCATACATACATGCATGTATGTAGATGACCTATATGATCACGGGAAGTGTCTGAGGTCCGATTAAGATTTAAGTCAACATTGCCATTACTATCATGCATGCTGCGTGTTCGATGATCTTTTTTTTTATGCAATAGATCATCATCACTCCCATGTGAAAATTTTGTTCTCTATCACACTTGCTTGTTGTTCGTCCCTCGTTCTTTTTTTGTATTTCTGTTTTTTTCTTCTTCACTCTACAATAGTAGTTCTAATTAAATGACAAGAAGGTCTCTTTATATATTCGAAAAGAAAAAGAAAAAAGACGAACGCTTACTACATACTATTACTCTTGTCGCCGACACCTTTACGCCTCCGTATCCTCTCTATACTTTTTCTTGACAGCTTTTTAAAGTGTCCCATATGAAAGTAAGTGAACGAGCTCGTCAATCATCAATTATCGATTTGTATATAGGTATATATGCATATGAGTGAAAATGACCTGCTTACTGACTGACATAGCCTTGTGAATTTCAAAAACAAGTCGAAAAATAATGACACTGAACAATATACATTTCCTTCATCTTTTTAATCGTTTATTCTGTCAATAGACTTCTGTGATGCAATAGTGAGACAATAGTTGGTACATACATAATTCTATTTATGTACATTTGCGTTCGATCTTTTTTTTCTTCATTCAACTTCAGTTTCATTCAGTACGTGTGCGTACACGAGAAATACAGAGAGAGGGACGAAGAGAGGCAACGTATACACTACTGCTGCTTTGTCTATGTGTCAATTTGTGTAATCAAATACTGAACTGAAGTTCTCTTCTCTTTTTTTCTCAATTTTTTTTTCTCTTTCTGTTTATATCGTCTTATTGCTCTGTTTCTTCCGTTCGATACAAACGGTAGCTGGCTGCACCACCGCCATCGCCATCCTACTGTTCTGTAGTCGATCTCTTTTATTCATTCATTCATTCATTTATTTATTCGAATATGAAAATTTACTCTTCACTATTCTTTGTTGATGACGACGTAACATCAAGACAAAAACGAAAAGATTTTTATTTGCTTTTTTAATCTTAAAAAAATGACACAAAGAAGCAACAGGTATACTAGAATAATATTGAAGCTGAATAAAATCAATTTTTTATAATAATATAAATAATTTAGTTACTATTATTCTTACACTTCTTTTCTTTTTGCTTCTATAGATCGTATAAACCAACAATGCCTGTTGCAGCAACATCGACAATAAATGAACAAAATCGATTTCTAAATTCATATGATCAGGAGGAGGAGGATATTGATTATAATAATCGTTGGTATCATGGACGTTCAGCATCACCAGTATATCCTCAGAATGTTAGTAATGGTGTTATTCATCAGTCATCTTCAGCAACTATAGGTTCATGGGGCTTTGACGTTAATCGCTCAGCAAACGGACAGACACCGTTATCGTTTACATCAAACAATAATAATAATAACAATGATCATCGTACAATCACGAGGACATCAAGACGACTAGATGAATTGACAGAAGACTATAACGAACGTCTTGTAGATAGAACAACTACTCCTCCTCAACGTTTTAAATTACGAACACCTACATTAACTAGACATCGTGACGGAAACGATTTTACTGTTGTTGATCGTCTTGTTCTTGGTCCAAATCGTGTTGCACAAACAGATTATTATCCATCGAACGAATCACCACGTCAGCAATATATGTCTCCAACAACTCGATCTCGGCAATCATCAACACGATCAATATTACGTCGACGATCAAAATCAATTGGTGATTTTACAACGCCAACAACTAGTACATCTCCTCCTCCTCCACCTCATCTTACACAATCTTATCAGCAACAATATCAATACCATGAACGACCTCAACTAAGTCCAAATAATCATCATAGAACATATGCTGAACATGAATTAATGGCTTGGCAGAATCGTATGTTACAAAGGTTTGTTTTAATAAAAAATCAATTTGATTTATTGTATTCAAGATAACATAATGATTTAATACTTAATAAAATATATGAACGACACTATTTCAATTTTTTTTCTTTTCTTTTAGAGATCATCGTGTGGGAAATAATCAGATAGTTCGTCCACCTTCACGTAATACTAATGGTTGGACACAATCACCACGAATGAGTAGTAAACGAGGCGGAGTAAGTATTTCTTTTTCTCTCTTTCTCTCTTAATGATTAACGTACATATGTCCTCATCTATTTCTTGTGTCTTTATATTTTTCTGGGTCACAAAAATGAGATCATGTTCTTTATATGTTTAATCAGATCGGGACACATCATTCTAAGCATTCATATGTGTAATGAGAAGAAAACTGAGTATCATTTCTCTTCATCTTTTTTTTTCTCCTTCTTTCTTTCTAATATGAATATGTACACTAATTTGTATTGAAGTCGATGATTACTATTGATACATGCGGGGGTCATCTGGTCAATATTGATCTCTGTATTAATTATTTTTTTCTATCATATATATATATATTTCATTCTTTAGTTCAATTCTTCTCAAACAACAAATCGTCAAATGCGTAAGATTTAAAAAGAAAATTAATCGAATAAAACATTTTTACATTTTAGCTGTATCAACTCGACCCACATCTGTTATGTCAAATTTAAGTGGGAGTCAACGTTTTGATCATGATTGTGTAAGACAAAAAAAATTTATTTTCTATTCATATCTATTATTTTATTTTAATTAGCATGAATCCATAAATAAATCATCAAGAATTATAAAACGATATGTTGAATTACTTAATCATTTATTAACATTTTATGAGAAAATTACTGATCAATTATATGGTAGAAATACTTTTTTGAAGAATAAGTAAGAATAAAAATTGATTTTTTAAAAAAAAATTTTCATTTTCATTTTAGCTCATCGCCACAACAATCGGTATTTATGCAACATTGCCGAAAAATAGCTGAACAATTACAACGCTGCAAACCAATATGGGAACGAAAAGTATTTAAAAAAAAAATAATTTGTATTGACGTTTTTTTTTGTTCAAACATCTAATAGATGATCGATCTTCAACATTTACTTAAAGATATGTCAACACATGAATGGTCAAGATTGAAAAGTGAGGTTTGTAGTAAAGCAAAAAAGATTAAAATAAATGAAATCATTTAAAATAAATCTATATATTATATTAGACAACATTTCTACAACGTCGTTCAACTTTAATTAATTTAATACAAACATTAAATTCTCGTAAAGATCTTGATGATACTCAATTCTCGATTCTCGTTCGTATTATTTTACATCATTAGTAGTAATGAATTCTGTTATCTTTTATATAGAATGATATTGATCGAGTATTACATGAAGATAAATTAGGTAAATTGAAACTTTGCTTTCTTTTTTTCTTGAAATAATTGTTTTTTTTTGTTCATTTAGCTGTTCAACTTCAAGATGAATTATCAACACTACTTCAACATCAAGTATATTATGAAAAAATATATAATTTTATTCATAATCTATTTGTTTTTAGTCATTATTAAATGATTTTACATCATTACTTCAATGGAATCGTCAGATCTATTCTCCAAATGAACAAAATCGTGTAGAAAATATTCTACCATTATTACGTGAACAAATAAATACAACTGATAGTTATGTATCACATGTTAGTCAAGTAAGGAAAATAAATGAATGAGGATTAATTTGAATAAATGAAAAATACTTTTTTGTAGCAATTAACAGAATTAGTTACAAATTTACGTTCATTAGAAAAATATATTATATCTCATGTTAACACAATTCCATGCTTTGATGAAGGTAAATAGAATTTAATTTTTCTAATAATAAAAAAAAGAATTTTTACGATTAGGATTATCATCACCAAATCGAAATGGTTGGCGTTCACATAATGAAACTGATATAGATACATTAAAAACAAGAAATCAAACTGAACGAATAAAAGTATAAAATAATTTAATTAATATTTAATGATTTAATAAAATATTTAGGAGGATTTTCAACGTTCACCTCGTTATCAATCACGTCCATTAAGTATGCATACACCAACAAATCAACAGTATCATCTAAGTAAAATAATAAAATTGAGTTATTTTTTTCTTATTTTCTATTTATTTTAGATGGTAGTCCAAATTATCGTAGTAATAATTATACGAATGAAAATTTTGAATGGCATCGTCAAAGTCCTAGTCCAACAAGTAAATTCGCCTATTTATCCAATTAAATCTTTCTTTTTCTTCTTCTTTAGAACAAAGATCTGTATCAATGACACGTTATCCTGACCCATCTGAACCAGTACGTGGTCCATCAACAGCAGATGATTATGTAAATATTTAATTGATTTCTTCGAAAAAAAAAACAGTTTCATTAATTTATTCAGGATCGTGATGGATTACGAACACCAACAAAATGGACACCAAGAAAAAATAGTTTACATTTAAATACAAATAATAGTAATAGTAATTCAACAACAGCAACAACACGTATGGCAACTGTTAAATCCGCTAGACGTGATCATGGACTTATACCAAATGTAAATTTTCATATTACAAAAGAACTATTCTAATAAATCCTTTTGTCAAAATTTAGAGTATACTTAAACCATATCCACATACACGTACAACACTTGAAACAAAAAAAGATTTTGATATTGATACAATTGATAAAGAAGTAGAGAATAAGAAGATAATATAAATACAAAAAAATTTTATTATTTATTTAAATAGATATATCGACCAGATAAAGTTGATATACCTGATAGATTAATTGATTTTGGTAATGATGATCAAATGTTAACCCCAAATGAACGTTTAGCAAAAATGAAGAAAAAAGAAGAAGTACGAAAAATGCTTTCAAAACAAAGGTAATCAAAAGACAGAAAAAAATCAATTCGCATGATCTAAATTTTTTGTTTTTCTTATAGTATGCAAGAACTTAATGATCATGATTATAATGAAAGAGATATTCATTTACCTTACAATCATCATCGATTAGAAAAAGAACGTGAAAAAGTATGTTATTCAAATTACGAATCGAAAGAGATTATGATCCTAGAATACTGTCGGATGTCTTAGAGTTTCAGAAAATTTCTATATTAGATCTAATCAGTTAATTTCATTACTTGAGAAATGACATTTATAGATTAATCAGAAAAAATTCTTTTAATATAATAATCAAACCTTTGAATGCTGATTTCCATGTCAATGATTCGATACAGATGACTTACATTAGTAACTAAGATTCGTAATAATTTGTATCAAGTGTACTAATCTTCAATGTAAATAATTTTCTTTGAATATAATTTCTATTCATATTCACTTAAATGATTTCGTAACTACTTGTAATACTTTTAAATTCTAGGCTCTTAATTTACAATCAGTACTTGCAGAAGAAGCAAAAGAAAAAAGTCGTCAAGTTGCAGGTAAGCGCAAAAAAGGAGTTTCTTTCTTTTTTTTCACACCATATATATAAATGCTCGAAAATGATTTACTGTGTGAATGTGTTATGACAATGATTTCTTTCATTTTAAAGATTTATGATTATCGACCACGGGTGAGCTCATCGGGATAATTGCTCTCGCTTTTTTTGTCTATAAATTCCTTTTTGCTTTGCTTTGAAAATTTAATTTGAAAATTTATTCGATATTATTTTCCATTTAGCAAAACATTATTTAAATAAATCATATCAACAACAACGAGCATCTCATCTAAATACATAAAAAAAAATCAAATTGATTGATGTTAACAGTGGTAGTAATGGTGCTAGATTATACTCACATCTTTTCTTATTCTATGTACAGTGTTTGATCATTCTCTCTCTCTCTCTCTAAGCAATTTTTTTTCGATTATACGCTTTTGTTTGTCTCACTATTTTTTTATACTATGCATGTTTTGTTCGTTTTCTTTTTTGTATTGCAACGTTTATAATAATGTACTTTGTAATCGAGGTTTTTGTTTCTTTGCTTATAAGATGAAAAAATAGCATTATTTCTCGATTGATTAATTGAAATATACATATATATTGAATATGAGAGAGAAAGAAAGAAACATAATATTATCTTTTGATATTATCAAAGGTTGAAAGAAAATTTGTTTTCTTATGTTAGATTGTAACCTTATAATTAAAAGAACATCGTATATTTTACTAAAAGTTTAAACAAAAGATTGAAGAAAGGTTAAAAAGTTTGATTTTTTTAATTATATTCTTCTTATAATTGAATTTAAACTCAGATTTATTGAGTGAAGTTTCTTAAATAATCATTACACTGACTCACTTTTAAAGAAATCAAATAAAGACTTCATAGAAAATATCTGTATCATTTATTTGTCAACTATCAGATATGAAAAATCTCTATATCAGTTTGATTTTGTTCCGCTCAGTATTGAATCATGTACCGCTCTATGTATTGACAAGAAAAATCATAATATCAGTTATAAAAATCTTTAAAAAAAAGCATCCTTGATTAATGAATATTGATGTTCTGCCGAGCTTGTCTGTGTGTATATATCGACTATATATAAAACAAATTAGTTTCCACTAAAATATATGTTTATTATGCTTTAATAAACCTTGTATTGAATGTGAAATTGTCATTCAGAAATACAATATTTTTCATTATGACAAGAGAGTTATACGTTTATAGAGCTTTAACCTTCACTGTCTTCTATTAGTAACACTATTCTCTTTATATGTAATGATTTTATTTGTCTCATATACTAAACTCGTAATAAATAGTCTTGCACAAAGATTGCATATGTATCTTCATGAACTAATTAGAATATTAACAGTACATGTACGTCATGCTATTTATATGTGATACACGTATCGATAAGAAGGACGTCAACAAATTCGTTGTTTAAATATTGAAAATTATAACATGAAGCAAAAACAATCGAGTTTCATGCTACCAAAATATACTTCGTTCATTATATTTTTATAATAAGAAAGAAGTATAAGCAGATTTCATCTATCACAAAAATATACAGCTATCTTTCTCAGCTAACACATCTCTTAATAATGATATTCTATATGTAAAACAGTGGTGGTTTTGATATAAACACATGTTATAATTGCATGACTATATTTTAATGATAGATAATTAAAAAAAGCTACTTTTATTTCTATTAAACATATCCATATAAATACATGTTTAAGTTATCTTTGCGATTATATACTGTATCGTGCCTCCCATCATCCTATCATTTCAATTGACACATATTTTATTCTTATCTTTTAATATTTTCTAAGTACATTTATTTTAATAATCAAAGATTAACTTTATTTAACATCGAGGTCGAATTGAGAAAAATATTAAGATTAATATAACGCTGAGAATAATATCCTTCTGATCAATATTGACTTTCATTCTTATATATATTCTCTTTCATTTTTATGTTTTCACTTCAATATTGAATTACTTAGAATACCATACGACCTGTCCACGTAAAATATGATTTTATCACGCTCTGTTTGTTTCATTATGCATAAACGAACACTGTACAGGGATCTGCGACTTCTCATTCATTACAAAACGAGCGTGACAAGATCACTTCCTTCCATGAACAAACCGATATATTTTCTGTAACTTTTTTCTTGTAGATTATTACATTTTTTCGAAAACATGTCTTTTTATTCACTTGCTGCGTTTTTATTAGTGATCATATCAGTCGTCAATGCAGGACAAAAAGTTTGCCCTGGTTATGGCTTCATTCGGCCACCAACTAAATGTGAATCATCATGTACAACAGAAAAAGATCTATGTCCATCAGATAAAAAATGTTGTTTTCGTGTTGAACAACCATGTGGTTTTCATTGTATTATACCTAAAGACAATGAACCAAAATCAGGCACATGTCCAACATCTGAATCTATGAAAGATAATCCATATTGGGGTTTATGTGATGGACATTTTTGTGATGTTGACAATGATTGCAAGGGAGCTGAAAAGTGTTGTTCCAACATGTGTGGTTCGACAATTTGTATTGCACCCACAATAATTTAAGAAATTATATTATTGACTTATCTATAACATATATATGTACTCGAAACATGTTTTTGTCACTTAATGTCTATTTGTTTTGTACTTGAGAGAAGAAAAAGCTTTAGCAAAAGGCTTCTCTCTTCTTTTTTTGGAAAAAGCAAATACATTTTTACGCATGACACACATATCTATCTATCTATATATATATATAAGATCTTCTCCGAGTGAAAAACAGGATAAGCTGTTCTCAATTCATTATATTATTTGTATTCCATTTCAAATAAAAAATATTACTGACTAAAGATGTCAACGAAGACAACAATAGAAAATTTGACGAATTCTATTCCTATAGATGAATTAAATGGAGAAACCTATAAAAGTAAGTTTAATTAAGTAATTTATCTGTAACAGATCTATGAAAAACAAAATTTCTGTAGGTCTTATACCATATACATCAGATATGAAAACAACAAAAACATTTTTATATGCTACTATTGATATGATACTTCGTTATCTATCTGAAATGAATGAACATGATTCACCTGTAAGAATTAAATATATATTTCAAATAAACTGAATAAATACTATTGAAATAGGTTATTAAAAATGGTCTTCGTACACCGGATGAATATCGGAAAATGTTTACATTTGAAGTAGCTGATGAAGGTATGAATTTATATGATATACTTGCTAATTGCGAACGTATTCTCGAAACAACTGTTCGATCAGGTAATTTATTCATATAATTTTTCTTTTTATATATTTTATAGGATTATTTCTATTTAAGGTCATCCTCGTTTTATAAATCAATTAACTCAAGGTGTTGATATGATATCATTTGTGGGTGAAATAATCACTTCATCAATTAATGCAAATATGTTTACATATGAAGTAGCACCGGTTTTTAATCTTATGGAAGAAAGTATACTTGCGCATATGAGAGAATATTGTGGTTGGTCAAATACAAAATCACCATTAAATAATGGCGATGGTGTTTTAGCACCCGGTGGTGCTGTTTCAAACTTATATGCTGTATTAGCTGCTAGACATTATGCATATCCAAATATAAAAAAATCAGGTATTCGAGAGAATTTACGTTTGGCTATGATTATTTCAAAACATGTAAGAATATTTCAAAGGATTTTGTTTTTTTTTTTCGAAATAATTGTTTTCTTAATTAAGTGTCATTATTCATTGAAACGAGCTGCAGGTTTACTTGGTATAGGAACGGATTATGTTTATGAAGTCGATCCGGATGAATCGTAAATTAAAATTAATTTATTGTTAATTAAGAGTTTTATTTCTTTTTTCATCTAGTGGCCGAACATCAGCTGAAAAAGTTGAAGAAAAAATTCTTTATTGTCAACAATTAGATTATTCAGTATTTTTTGTTGGTGTTACAGCAGGAACAACAGTTTTAGGTGCATTTGATCCTATTGAAGAAATTGCAGTTGTTTGCCAAAAATATAAAATATGGTTACATGTTGATGTAAATTTATTTCTTTTACTTTTAATAAACTTTAGAAATATATACATATAGGGAGCATGGGGTGGTTCAGCATTATTATCACCAAAGACTAAACATCTTCTTCAAGGTATTGACAAGTAAGATAAATCATCTAATATTATAGTTCAAACTGTTATTTTGTATATATGTAATAATAATAGAGCAGATTCATTTACATGGAATCCACATAAACTTATGTCAGTCCACCTTCAATGTTCAGCTATTCTATTAAAACATTCGGTATGTATAACAGATAGATGGATTTCAAAAAAGAGAATTTTTGTTTTGTTTCTATAGAATGTTTTAATGCGTGCTAATCAAATGTTAGCTCCTTATTTATTTCAACCGGATAAACATTATGGAACATCACTTGATACAGGTGATAAAACAATTCAATGCGGTCGTCATATTGATATATTAAAATTATGGCTTGTATGGAAAGCTCGTGGTAATCAAGGTTATGCTGAACATATTGATAACTTACTTGAAAATGCTCATTTCTTCTATGAAACAATATGTAAACGACAACCATATTTTCAAACAGTCATGAAAGTAATGAAAACTATCCACAAAAAATCTCTCCTATATACATTTCTTATTTAGCCACCTTTTATTAATGTTTGTTTTTGGTATGTTCCACCAAGTTTACAAAACATTGATCCAACAACAATCGAATATAAACAACGATTAGATAAAGTAAGAGATTATGAAACTTTTTTCTTCTAAAAGATAATTTATTTAATTTAAAAGATTGCACCAAGAATTAAAGAACGTATGATGACAAATGGTACAATGATGGTTGGTTATCAACGTCTTGATGACTATCCGAATTTCTTTCGTGCAATCATATCAAATTCAGCAACAACAAAAGAAGATATTGTTTCTATGATTGATGAAATACATGAACTTGGACATGATCTTTAAATTTAGAAATTCTAACCTTTCATGTTTTTAATATAATTCCATATACTTTATCAAACCTAATAAAAAACAACTATATTCATTTCAGCCAATTAAAATTTAGTTTCAAAATAAGATCTAACATTTTGCAATTTTATTTATAAAAAATAAAAGATAAATAAATATACACAAATTTCAGAAAATCTTCTTATGCCATATTATCAAGTTCACCTAGAAAGAAATATACAAAAAAAATTTTTCTATTCAAAATAATCTTTATACATACGAGCAAGAGATTTAAATCCAAGTGATCTCATAATACGTGCTAAATTTGTAATATCAGCTTGAGCGCTATTTGAAGCCCAATGTTCTAAACTTCTTAAACAACGTTCTTCTTTTGATGGATATTGTCTTTCAATATGTTCAATATCGTCATTAGTTAACATTAATTCTCTTGCAATTTGTTTCCATATACGAATACATTCATCACGTTGACAGATACGATTAAATGGAACATAGAATGATCGTAATTGATCTAGAAAAAGAAGAATCAGTTTTGTTTTCTTTCCAATATATCTTTTTACCATCTTTTGATGATGTTTTTTGTTCTTGACGTTTTTCATCTTTAATTGCTTGTAAATCTTGTGCTAAATCCCATCGATTTATATTCACTAATGCATTTATTAATAATGAAACTTTATCAGTTGAACGTGCTACACGTTTAAACCATGCAAATAACATATAATAAGATGCATCATCATGATGATCATGTTCAATAGCTTCAATACGTATACGTGTCATACCTAAACGACGTGCTAACCAACGCCATTCATCACCATGTAAACTAGCTGATATATCACGAAAAAGTGCTGGTGTTATAATTCCTAATATAAAAAGTATAGAATTTAATAAAATTTATGAATATATTTACCTTCAACAGTAAATGTTGGTAATGTTTTAGTAGTTGGTATACCAGTTTCTTCAGTTAGTTTTGGTAAACGGACAACTAATTCAGCTAAACAGACATCAACATCATGCCATTCTTGTTTTAACTTAAATAAAATAGATTAAAATAATAGATAAGAAGAATGAAAAACCACATACGGTTTCTGTTTGTTGTTTTTTCTTATCAGTTTCTTTTGGTACAGCTCGTAGAACCTTTTGTTTCGAAAATATTTGTACAAAACCATAGAAAAATGGTGAAAAATGTTGAGAATATTTATCTGTTTGAGAAACATTTGTTTGAAAATAATAAGGAAAATTTGTATTAAATGCAAATGAATATGATTGTTGATGATAATCATTTGGTAGAACATTTCCACGAAAACGTAATTCTAATAATTGTCCTTCTTGTAAAGTAAGTTCTTTAAATTGTTCATCATCATTCGTATAATTTTCTTGTTGAAGATCATCATGCACTGTATTCGTACGTTGACTTGAACAACAAACAAAACAAATCTCATTTACATTTGATAAACGACGACGAACCATTAACGAAACAGATCGTTGACTAAGTGATTGTTCAAGTAATTTAATTGCTGTTTGTATTTTTTTTGTTGATGTTAATTGTTTATCACAACGTGCAATAATCATTCGTGGATGTAAACATTTTAAATCTGTTATTACAATATCATGAGTTTTTGTATCAGTTATAGAAACATTGGTATCAATATGCCATGTGTTTTCGTTTTGATTACAATAGAGTAGAATAAGTCGGTCATTATTTGAATCTATAAAAAAATTAAAATGAAAAATAATCTTTTGAAAGTTATTTCGACAAACCTTCGCCAAGCATTGATTTAAAAATAGATTGTTGTTGTTGTAAAATAATATCTTGAGTTGTTTGATTCGTTACTGTTCGTTGTGAGTCTATACCTGATGATTTCATTGATCCTTCATTCTTTTTCGTTGGTAAAAGAATAGGTAATTTAAATTGAATTGGTTTAAGTAATGTAATATCATCACAATCAAGATCAATTATAGGTCCAACAGCTAATAAACCTTCAGATTCATGTGAAAAATTCTCGGAAAATTGTGCAAATGCTGGTAAATCAACAGGCTGAACACGTAGATTAATACGAATATTTGTTTGTGAAACATCTTTTGGCCATTGTAATGTCACACGTGAATCAGCATTTGATATAAATCGACCGGATGATTTTTTATTAATTAAAACTGTATCAAGTCTTAAACGCGATACAACTGCACATGCTGTTGATTGATTTAATTTACATTCAACAAAACGTTTTTCCTAAACACAAAAGAAGAAAATAAACTTTTCGAATTGTTTTTTTCTGATAATAAACAAACTTTGTGTGCATCAAACATTGATTCGTTTGTCTCAGTTGATATCCAAATACCATTTGGTTGACGAATTTTTATAATATTTTCTCGATGATTTGATCGTTTAATAATATAAGGAATAGAAAATAAAATATAATCTTGATTATTTTCCTAAAATTTCATTCATAAATTTCTTATAGATTTAAATAAAATGAAATACTTTTGATTCAAATTTGACTTGTATTGGTGTACTTATAAGTTCTTCTTGATTATCAAGAAGATTCTCTGTTTCGGAAACATTAAGAAATGTTATACTAAGTGGTATTGATTTCGTATTAGATGGACTTCGTACAATACATTGAGGACATTGATCATCATGCATGAAACTTTATAAATATTAAATAATATACATGATTTTTACTTAAAACAAAATGTACTCGCGTGTTGTGTAGTTATTATAATCATCTTCTTTGTGTTGTTGCTGTACTTTTGCCATTGCTGCAAGACGTTCTTGTTGTTCACGTTCTCGCTGAAGTTCCTTATAAGAGAGATAGATAATTTACATTTTTTGATTCAATGTATATACATACTTTTAGTCGTTGTTCTTCTTCCAATCGTACACGTCGTTCAAGTTCTTCAGCTCGTGTTCTTTCGATTTCTTCTTGTTTAATTTTCATTTCAACGGCTTGTTGAGCTAATTCATCTTTAGCACGTTTGTCAAGTTCAGCTGCTTTAGCTATAGCTATTCTAGCTTCTTGTTGTAATTGTACAGCAGCTGCACGACATTCAAGTGCTTCAGCATTTAATTCCATTAATTTCGCACGTGTTTCAATATTATTCTTATTATTATCATCTATAAAGTTTATAATATTAATATACATACAATATAACAAATCTTTATCTACCTAACTGTTGTTGTTGATCAAGTTGTGTTTTTTGTTCAATATTTGCTCGTAATATTTCATTGATATCTGCTAATGATATTTCGAATTTTTGTAATTGTTGTAATAATTGTTTTTGAAATACTTCCGTTTCTCGTAATGAATCTCTCGATAGAGTTATTATTGTAGCTAATTTATTAGTGTCATAATCGCGTGATAAATTTCCTTGACGAAGAGCAGTTATTTCTTGACGTAGATCGTTCAATGGTTTATCTAATACAGTAATTGCCATCGTTTATGATTTGAAGATATTCAGATAATCTAAAAATGACATAAATTTTTTTTGTCTAATTTTATGACGTATATAAAGTCTGTTTATTTCTGGTAGAGGTAAAGAGCGATTGTATTTTTGAATAAGAAAAAAAATTTAAGAAGAAGCAAGAGAGAATGAAAAGAGGAGGGATCGTTGACTGTTGTTATTTTTCTTTTCACTTTTTTTTCTTCTTCTTCTCTTCATATTCCTTGTTCGAATGTGTAAGTAAAATGTGTCTATGTCAACTTTGTTTAATGTACATCTGATGATAGTGTTGAAGGCCAAAATGAAATCGTTTGTAGACTTCGAAACATCTTTCTTTTGTTCTGTCTGACTGCAAGGTCTATTTTATATCACTTCAAATATATCTTACCTTGACTAATAGACATAGAAACAGTAAATAAATACTGTTGTTAAGGATGATCTAACGAAGCAGAGAAGAAAAAAAATGAACGAGAGCAAAAAAAAAAGAAACAAAGAATCGATATAAAAGTAAATAATAATTTCAAATGTTTTCCTATTAGGAATCAATAACAAACCATAGATAAGTATTTCTATATATATATATCAGTTTTCTAAAGTTAACAAGTTGTTTAATGTTTCTCGGACCGTTCGTTTTTCTTTTTGACACGTAAATGTTTTTTATTCAAAGAAGAGAGAAAAAATATGTTAACGAACGAGATCATTCACACCGTGCACTTCTATGTAATCATATATACGAAAAAAAACGATAATTAGATGGACACTTTTATTCAAATTATTGATCAAATATATTTTTGTATAATTTAAAAAAATAACAACAATAATTATTAAGCAAATAAGCAGAAAAACATCTCTATTTTTGTTTTTATTAGAATGCAATTATTCTAATATGTTTAAAAGAATAGATAACTGTTGTAAATCCATCGAAAAAAGTTCTATTTAAATTGATGAGATTTCAATTCTTTCGTTTTTTTGTTAAAGAAAAAAATATTTTATTCAAGGTAACAAACGCCTTAGAGTGAAAGACATTGAAAAATTTTCAGTGATAATTTTTCTCTCCAAATATATTTATTTGTAAAATGTCGATGTTTTCAAAACTATTTATTATAACAAAAGTTTTCGGATAGTATTCAAATCATTGATCTAATCTACAAAAGAATCCGTAGTGGATAATTAAATTCCATGTTCATATTATGGAAATAAATTTCTATTGCATCATCGTACAAAGAAGTAATATCATTTGGTAGATGATTTAATAAGATTCTTTTTTTTTAAGTATACATAATATGTAACTTGTGGCAGTCTCTTTATCTTACAATAAAATTTATTTTTCTAATGGCTATGAAAAACAGCTGGTAGCAGATGATGATGTTATCAATGATTATAAAATAAGCAGATAACTTATGTAACTCTAGAAAGTCTGTTCTAAGGTCATAGAAAGCTACGAACAAAATTCTATGACGTCTTTTATTCAGAGATGTTTGTATCTGTTAAAATAGATATTTAATCTAATTCTAATACAGTTTTTTTGCTTCATCTTGTAACAAAAGAAATGTCATCATTTCCATGATATCGAATATCTTTTCTGTTTTTTGAAATAATAGGATTTTAAAGATGATCTTTCAGCAGACTTTTTCAATATCATTCGATTGGATCCATATGTATCAGATGGTGATTATATCCACTATTTAGTTATAAATGTACGCATTTACTAATAATTAAATAGAAATTTAATCAATATCCAGACGAAATAGCAGCTTTTTCCAATTCTTTATAGATACTTTGACATTATTTGATTGATCTATAATATAGATTGGATCCATATGCTATTGAAGTAAGAATCTCTATACTATATATCAATTTTACTTTCTTTTATGAATACAAACCATTCCATAAGGAATTGATGAACTTCACATTAATCAAGTATAAGGATTATCAAAACAACTTCTTTCGTAAAGCTTTTCGAAACATTTCATATAGATAATATAGTCATAACTAAGTTGACTTGAGTATGATTCGATATGTCATATATAATTTTGACGAAGGATCAATATGTTCTTTAAACGTCTTTTTTCTTCTTCCATTCGATGACATATTGGTAAATGTTTGTTTCTATTTTTCATCTATTGACTGTTTTCAGTATATATAATAATCTTTATTTATCCTAATAATTCAATTGAATATAATAAGAAAAAAAAACTAAGTTGATTGTTGATTGCACTAAGTGTCGAAAATGAGTAGTCAGTTATTTAAACTTTTCCATCATATGAAACAAGCGAATAAGAAAAGGATTTCATATATGTTCGGTTATCTTACATAATATAATTGAAGGAAATTTCATGGTCTATATTCTAGAGTTAACAGTCAGTCGGATCAGCATGCGCGACAGCTCATCATCAATGTGTCACACACACACACACATATATATATACATATTGATCATTAAGGCGACAATGATGCCAATGACAGACAAGAAGAAAGGAAAGACGCTTGTTTGACGGGAAACTTCTAAGCATACGCATCTCAATGTTTGTGTGTGTACTTGCGGAACGAGAATCAGTAGTCTTTGTATTTGCATGATTGAAGAGAATGCTAGAAATGAAGGCAGTACAAGAAACGACTAACTCAATTAGAAGCAAAATTAGATTGATAGTAGTAAATAGAAAGACGATATGCACAACAAAAACCGGTTCAGTTCATTATGTAAAAAAAAAAACGAGAAGTCCTTTAATTATTCACAATAGACATAAAACATGTAAGTTCACTACGTTGTTTATAATAAAAAAACAAAACATATTTTAACAAATACATAAGCAGAAAAGATAAAAGTCAACAGGTAATGAATGATAATAATTAATCCATATTTTGTTTGATAAAAATTACTAATATGCACAGGTTGCATTGTTAAATGATGGATCCCATTTTCTAAGTATAGCACATTGATCAACAACTTTCAAAATACCAGGTGCATTAAATAAAATCTTTAGTGTTCCAAAAGCTGTAACTGCAAAAAAAATAAATAATTGTAATCGATCAATTACCGATGCAATATATTTCCAATCATCACGAACCTAAAAAATAAAATGATTTTTTTCTTTTAATCAAAAAAAACACATACTTCTTCATAATGACTAGCTGATCGCATATAATTTGCAATGAAACTTAAATCTTCTGCAGCTTCATATGCTTCTTTAGTTAATAAAAGATCGACATCTTGTGGAGTCAAAGGGTTTTCTTCATCGTCTGTTGTTGATGATTGATTCATAGTTTGTTGATGTCGTTTGGATGAATGTCGATGATGATGATGATGATGATGATGTTGGTGTTTCTTTTTTGATGAATGACGTTTTTTTAATTCTAATGGTTGATCATAATGATTTGTTGTACTATTATTACTATTATTATTGATTGTAACTGGTGGTGATGCTATTGATAATGCGCGTGATGCTTGCATGTAATTTAACATTGTTTGTTTAGCTCTATCAGCTTCTGTCACATGTATATTATCTTCTTTTTGATATTTTTTTGGTCGTTCCATTCGAAGTATTCGTGGTAATATATCAATACAAAGATGTTTTATCCAATTAGGCATTTTATGTGTACGTGATGTACGATAATTATAATTAATAATAACAACTGTAAAAAATATTGTTATTATATTCATCATAAATGTAAATAAAAGATATTTAGCTATTAATGGTATAACAATGGATGTTGGTGGTAAAATTTTTGATATAAGTAAAAGAAACACAACAAGAGCAAGTAAAATTGAAATAGATAATGTCATTTTTTCACCAGCATCAGTTGGTAAATAAAAAACGAATACGGATAAAAATGAAATAAGCACCTAGAAAAATAAATTGTTTTTGTTATTTAAATCAATAATTTTACCGTTGGTATAATTAAATTAACTGTATAGAATAATGTTTTACGTTTTATTAAAAGTTTACAAACAAATTCAACTCGATCACGTCCATCAGCTTTTTCAAGTCGAGCACTTGTTATAGATGCTACCGTACTACTTCCATCTGTTTCATTCGTTACTGATGGTGTATATGATGATTGTTGTATAGACATAGGACCATCAAGAAGATCCCATGAACCACTAACAACATAATCTTTTATTGTAATATTTCTTTCCTTTTCATCATAATATGAAAAATTCATTTGTTGTTGATCATATGTCCATGAACCGAAACGTAATTCACATGTTTGTTCATCTAAGAAAAATCAATGAAATTATATCTGAATTTAACGAACCAATCGTTAGTTTTTTTGCAATATAATTACCAAATGGAAAGAATTTGACATCAATATAACAACTTGATTTATAAATAGCTGGTGGTACCCATGTCATACTACCATCAGAATAAACAACAACATTGGATTTATATGATGCTTCATATTTACCATCAGCATTATTAAATAAAACAATCTAAAAGTTTTTTCTTAAATATTAACAAAACAATTTGATATATAACTTACATCAGGTGTCCAAACCTGACTTGGTGGTATACGTATAGATAGAATACCACCGTATTTTTCTGGTTTCCATTGCATTTGATAATCTTTCCATTTCTGCAAAAAAAAGAAAATATCGAATTATAATAATATCTCATATTCTTTTGTTTTTATACATACAACTTGTAACCAAACATTTGTTTTTAAAACTTGTTCTTTTTCAACTACACTAATTAATTGTAATAAAGCAATACTAAATGAAACAACTATTGTCTCTTCAACTTTTCGTACAGGACGTATTAATGGATTATAATTTTGAAATAATTCTTTAAATAATTGTTCTTCATGATAGGAACTATTAACTAGAAATAATTATATTCCGAGTAAATAAATCGGTTGATTTGTCTTTAAAATAATATCTTTACCGTCTTTGATCGAGACCAGTATATTGAATAGAACAAATACTAACCAATATAAGAACGACATCGACATAAGATAACGACCAGATAGGAATCGAACAACAGTCGATACTTATCAATAGCAAGAATAAAGCCTTATGCGTTAAGATCGAGTGCGCACGAGTTTTGTTCTTTTTTTTTTACAACAATTCTATATATATATATATAGATCTATATATTTATTTATTTATATATATATTTTGTATACAAGGTTCTAATTGAATGTAAATGAATCGTAGACTTACGAAAGCAATAAAGAAACGGCGACTGAATAAAAAGAGTCTTGTTTAGTTAGAGACAAAAGAATCGAGAAAATCAAGAATAGCAAAGAGAGAGAGAGAAGGGACTCGAGTCGAAATAATGTCATCAGTGTTATTCTTATTCTGTTTCTTTTCCTGCTGTTGCCATTTCTCAATAGACTTTGAGAGAAAGGAAGAAGAGGGGAGAGAGAGCGACAGAGAAAGAAGAGAAGATACTGCAACTAAAGAGACCTGAAAGTTTTATCCTGAGGCCATTTGATAGTACTGGTTGATTTTTCTTTTTGTTGAATAGAATCTACAAATAATATGTATATATACTAATCGATTTTCAGAAAGAACAGAAAGAGAAATTAGTTTTCAAGGTAAGATCGACTCATCTTAAAGAAATTATAATGCCATCTGGTTCTTTTTTTTTTTTGTTCTTTTAATTTCTATTTAATTGTAAAACTTTTAAAGAAAGAGAGATATAGAAAGATGAGAACTAGTCTAACACATACTACTAATAGTTTCACAAGAAACAACAAGTTATTTTTATGACTACATCTATGTATAAATAAGGATGACTGCTTTGATTTGATCGGTTGCGATTATGTACGCATGCATACTCTCGTTCAATAACGAGAGAAATTCATTCTTCTCGTTCCTAATATTGTTACACGATCAGTATGTATGTATGTATGTGTTTTAAGAAATATGTTATTCACTTCTATAGTCCATATACAAATGATTATTATCAATAAAAAGAACAGTAAGAAGAAAATGAGAAAATTTTCTGTAACATTTTACTTAATATAGTACGAATCTAATTGGTCCCTAAGATATATATATATCAATCTACTTTGATTAATATTTCGCCTACCGTTTTCTCATTAGATTTTCTTGCAAAGAAAGGGCAACTCAGTCGAAAAAATTTGTGCATATACGCAAATGATACTAATAGGCAAAGACAAACATTAGTCGTAACAGCATGAATCTAATTGGCTTCTATAACAGTATAAATCAGCATCAGCAATTACTTTTAGTAAAGTATAATTAGCCTTGCGTTTCTATTACGACTGTTCATATTCTCTTGTGTATATTACGAAAACAGTCCATTTTAGATACTGCACATGTATATCCATGTATCTTAGCATGCAACAAGATTATTATATGCAATTGTCCAATTTGCACGCGTCATCTCTTTTGTCGTTTCTCGCTTATCTCTCTTCTTCTTCTTCTCCTCAATCTAACATAGAACGATGAAAATAACATATTCTTCTTTGTTCGGTTTCTTTTTTTTTTTTTTTTTTTTGTTGCACCAAGTGTTTTTTTTCTATCTATATTGACTATTCCATTAGTAGAGACATGCGCACATGCATGCTCTAGCAACATACATATATACATACAACATTGTTTGAAGTTAACTAGTGCAATATTGAAAATAGCTTTTTTCTGATGTAGTCATATATATATATACATATATTCTCTTATGACATTAACGGTTTTTATGGATAGATAAACGACTTTTTTTTCTTCTCATAAAAACACAGATTCAATGTATTTATTTATCCACGCGTATGTTTCTGGCGTTGAGACAATGATGATAAGAGAGAAATGTTCTTTATCATTCTATAGCCTCGTAAGAGAAGTAGCGAGAGAGAGAGAAAGACAACTATTGAGAAACTATAATAGCGATAGGAAAAACTGATTTAAGTCAAAACATATGTTGTCTTAAATAAGCATAATATAGAAAATAACACAAAAGAAAAAGAAGAGCATAAATTAACAAAGTGATGTGTTTATTCACTCATAGAACATACGCATGCCGACGGTGGTACTCAACTGTCATCATTGCTTCGCTGTGAGAAGACTTAGAAATGAGAGAAAGATAAGATATAATATAGTAGCTGTTCATTGTATATCGTAACATAAAGACAAAAAAAGGGAGGAGCAAAAGGAATAATCAAAATCTTTCATTCTTTTCTTTAATCAATGATTAGATCATATTAATAAAATAAAATAGGAAAAAGGAAATTCGGCTCGATGCATGGATTCAAGTATTATCATATTATTGATATTCTATGTCTATTGGTGTTTCGTCAGTGGTAAGTTTTTAATAGAATTTATCCTATATACTCATGTCTCTCATTAATATAAATAGTTACATTTGCTAATCCCGAAGCAAAACGTTTATATGAAGAGTTAATTAAGGTACGTGCTTATAATAAATTGATTCGTCCAGTGAAAAATAATAGTGAAAAACTAACTGTTTATTTGGGCCTTCGATTAACACAATTACTCGATGTGGTATGTCTTTTAAGAGAGAGAGAGAGAGAAAAAAGATTTGAATTTTTTTATTTTCAGGACGAAAAAAATCAAATTATGACATCCAATGTTTGGCTTAAACAGGTAAGATTAAAAGAAAAAAAGAATCATAATTGATACAACAAATATAAAAGTTAGAATTTGAGAATTCTAAAATAAAAATAATTCAGATAGAAAAAAAAGTAGTGCATGCATAAGTAGGAGTGGTACGACGATAAACTTCGATGGGATCCAGCCAAATATGGAGGCGTCGATATACTGTACATTCCGAGTCAACAAATCTGGCTTCCTGACATTGTTCTGTATAACAAGTAATCATCTCTATGTTGTGATTGGATGTTGTTACTCTCATTGTTGTTGCACTATATTCTTTTTGTTCATTTTTCAAAACACCACCATCACTTCAT